CCAAGTGGTAGTCTTTCAGCATGAGGTTGTCATGTGTTGACAGGCTCCAGGGCTTGGTCCGTGATTTCCATTGCTTCCATATGTGCGTGGCCCACTGAATACTGAACGGCAAAGCAACGTCGCTACTCCTAGGCCAGAACGGACACAGTTGATGTTCGGAGCGCAAGGGCTTGAATCCTGCTTGGCCTTTCTGCCCGCTTGCTGCTTCCTCTTTGGCTTAGTCTTGTTGTGGTTGCGGCTTCTAAATACGGGTTTTAAGTTAGGTTTTGTTTTTTCATATTTGCTTGCTCGAGTGAGCTTTTCTTGGTTCGTTTCTTTGTTTGCCTGCTTGCTTTCTTGCTTGTGTTGCTTTCCAGGCGGAGCTCCTGGACTTTGTGGCGCACCACCACCCGGGCCTTTGGGACGCCTTGGGCGCAGACCTGGGCGCGGCGGAGGCGGCGAGTGTCTTGCAGGACGGGAGCTTTCGACTCAGCAGGCTGAACGGGACATTGCGGGACATGTACCGGCACCCAAGGGTTGTCAGTTGGAAGCCAAAATGGCTCACACAAGGGCACTTCAGGTACAAATGGACCACCCTTGGAGGGTGGTGGTAGCTGAAGGTTGGGCCTTTTTCCAATCAAAAAGGCCACAGCCCAACGAATTAACATGTCCAAAGCTCGCAGGACCTGGCTCGGGCATTGCTGGCACAGCGCCTGGACTTCCGCCTCACCCGGCCATGAGAGCCAGCCGACTCGAGATTCGAGCCGGTGAGTCAAGAGGGAGCAGGCCCAAAACGGAATTCTTTGTCACAGGAGCAAGTTTGACATTTTGCTTGTGCCGTGACAGTTTGGTTGCTTTGCTTCAAAATTCGCGAACCCCCCCCAAAGGAAAAAAAGGAGCGAGAAATGCTGTTTGCTATAACTTGAGAAAGCGCTACTTGGGGGACCCATCATTAGGCGAAGCGTTTGGTTTGTTTCCTCTTGGTTGCTTTCTTCAAAGCAGCCACCGAAAGAGTACCCCCAACTAAAACAGAACAGGACGCCCTGAGCGTGCGCTTCTCCAGGGTTTTTGTCAAAAAACACAGTGTTTTTTTCATACGTTTCCCAAACACATCAAGAAAACCTCGTGAAAACTAAAACAAAAAAACAAAAAACAAACAAAACACCAAGACTATGTCACATGTCCTAGCCTGGGGAGGGGGAGCATGGTCTTGTTTTTTTGGTTTTCTCGAGGTTTTTCACACTTTTCCCAGAAACATCAAAAACCTCGAGAGAACCAAAAAAAAGCAAGACTATGTCACATGTCCTAGCTTGGGGAGGGGGAGCATAGTTTTTTTTCTTCTTTTGTTTCTCCGATTTCTCGATGGTTTTGATAAATATTCCAATACATCTGCTGTAGACATCATTGAGCCATCTGCCACAGTCTCTGACATCAAGCCTGTGTGATAGATACTCTGTCTTGACTCTCATTGCATCTGATGGCAGTGGAGGGGGATAATATGTCGTTGACCAACGCCATAAATGCTACAGAGCATCTCACTCTGCGGGAACTACCCGCACATGTACACGTTGGCCCTCTTCCGGTTGGCTCTGTCACACCATTGACTTTGCCACTGAAAGAGAATCTTGTCTCATTTTAACATGTCCTTATCTGCTTCTTTACGAGTATCTTATGCTCTCTCAGGCTTTCCTTGGCCAGTCCTTCCATCAAGCACTTTGTGGACATCATGTATGGAGTGGAAGCCAACATGATCAACATGGATAATCTCAAGCCCTCGAGCAGGTTAACTTTCCATGCTCATGGACACTCCAACACGTGTCCATTCAACACCAGTCCCTCGTACACTTATGCGAAGTATTTATATGTTATGTTTTGTGTTGTGTGTGAAACTATAATATGCGCTTCCAATGTAAGGTCGCCGCCGCAAGCTTGGAGCGCGCATCAACAGGGTGAATACCAACATTTGTGAACAAGTGTTTTCCTGGTTCCGGAACTTCGCAGGCCTGTTGAACGAAATGCGTCCCAATCGTCACAAGTATTTTCTCTTGACCATGGCCAAGCGTCACAACAATGCCATCGACCAAGACAAGACCGATTACTTGCACCCCACCCGCAAGCCTATCCTGATAAAGCAACGAGGAGATTCCTCTGAAGACGACTGGGCAGTTTGGGCAGTGAGGTCTTGGACTTTCATTCATGTTGCCCGCGATTTTGTACCGCAGTCTATATTATGACTTTCGGTGATCCCCGCCGTGCCCGAGCGCCAAATCGAGCATAAATGCCTTGGACATTTTGATGGAACCCATTTTAGTTGAGAGCAGGTCGCTGTAAGCGTGCGCTTTTTTTCACTTTTTTCATTGAGCAGAACTGTCTTTGCATCTAGATCAAAGCCGGATTGTGGATGAAGGCAATGCATACTCTTGATTGAAGTAAACAAGATCTGAACATAATCAATCACATCCAGTAACACAGTGACCTTGTTACTTACATTGCAAACAATATCAAGTTCTGAAGAGCTTGATCTCTCGCAAAAGAATGCGCTATGCATTTGCAACTACTCATTGCAGACTCACTTCATAGCAGGTTTCTTCTTGAGGCCCTTCGTCTTCTTGGAGCAATGATATGGCTTCACAAGCTTGGAGCTAGCCCCCTGTTTGGTTCCATGTGATTCGGCAGCGGGGCAAATGACTTTGTTGCAACATCGCTGCTGCCAACAATAGTCTGATCGAAAATCCACCCCCTGAAAGTAGTGCGTTTGTAGGTCCACAGGGCATGTGGGTTGGCCCGCTTTCCTGGGCTTCAACGAGCGGATGAAGTTCAGTTGGAGACAGTCCCACCTTCCAGGGCAATGAGGAAGCCACTTTTTCAGTGGCCCAAACTCGCAGCAATCCCTGATTAATTTGGGGCTCAGAAATTCAAGGCATCGAAGACTCAGTGAATTCTAAGTTGTCCGTTTTCTGTACGGATAACACATGACACATGATAACACCGCCTTCCCTACAAGTACCTTGTTGCGGTAGGACCGTGTGCAACGCTGGGTCAACAGTCCGGTTAAAAGACCTGAGAACTTGGGATGAATCAGGACCCGTGGCCCTTTGCGTTCTCACGCTTCGACGAATTCCGTGCACACAGCGATTCGTGGTCGGCCTAGCCGCCGAGCCTTCCCCGTAGCTTGGAAGCCGTCTTTTTGGATTTGACGGCTGGGTTTGTGCAAGGTTGGGAGCGTGGATCATGTGACGTTTTGTCAACTGAGTAACAAAGTCTGCGTCACTTGGTTCTTAACTTTGATCCACAGACACTTGGAGTTTGCCAAGCTGAACATCAGCAAGCCCAGACCGTCAAGTCAGGCGAGAGCCTGAGTTTACAGATTCGCGCATGCGGAAAGAGGTGACAGATGCTGCGAAGTGCACACACACACACACGCACTGCGTGTCGAAGATATCCCACTAGCCCCAAGCCACTACCCCGGAAAGGGAACCGTCGTGCACTATTTAGTTTCGGTGCAACGGATATATACGCCCTTTTTCATGTGGAACTCCGCACGCGTTCAGGATAGCTTGCCCTATGCAGGGCTCTCCATCTATCATTCCCACTTCTCAGACACTTTGTGGGAAAGACTCTGTTCATGATGGCACCATGCCACCCCCTTCTCGACACATTCATCCTCACCCCCTCCACATCGCGCAAAACAAGGTAGCAGAGCACCAGGGGACGCCTCCATTTTGCAATAGCTTGTGACACTTAGGGAGCTTGTCAGTGGGTTTTGATTCCTACCATGCTTTGTTGGCGATGTGCTGCTTCGACTTCTTGCGAAGCGCTTGGCAACTGACAGTTCCTTTGTCGACATGATGGATGGTGCTATTCAATGTTGATTGGGCTCGCGGTTGCAGGTAGGATCAGATATTTGAGCTGCGAGAAAACAACAAGCACATTGCCCAAGTTGGACCCTGGACACCCATTTTGAAACCTTTGGTCAACATGACCTTGATCGGGCCTCATCCTCGCAACCGGCTTGGACAAGATCAAACCACTAGATGTTCTAGGGGAATCGTCAGACTGCCCTTCGGCTTTTCCCCCACATAGCCAGCACATGAGAGCGGGTGAAAAATAAAGCCATCAAGTTCTCGAGGACATCTAAACTGATCTAAAATGTATTGTTGCTGCCTCATGCAACACTCATGAGGACCTTGGATCTACGCTTCCTGCCAGGCTGTGATCTGGTGCTGCCATTCCCAATTCATGCACGCGTCGCAGTTGTCTCAAGTTTCGACTCTCAGAGGCTGTTGTTCCCTTCAGAAACTACCACACCCAAGAGTAGAAGTTGTTGAGAGGTACTGAACTGACGAATGCCTCACAATCGAAATTGATTCACTGCCAAACATGAAGCCGCGAGGATGCAGATAGACTGGAAGCAACAACTCGGTTTTCCAATGCCACTTTTACTCATTTGCCGACATTCATCAGGCTGCTCTGTTGACTGTGGCGAAAGCTTTGCATGTGGCCAGATGCAGCTTCCCCGTGAGCTGGGAGTCGCCAGCGTCGAAAAAGTGGCGTGCCGCCTGGCCAGTTTGGGCCTTTGACACGTGACCCAATCGGATGTTATGAACATTGTTTTCAGTTCTTTAGCCATTCAGGCATTGAGAAGCCAGTGCCTAGCCGGGTTTCATGGCAGAGCTCATGGCTTTGTGACTGTGACAAAGGAAATTATTGGCTTGCGGCGTATTTTCTGTTTATAGTTGGGAGTCTTCTGGAATGGTTTATGGGGTGGGAGTCGTGTCGAGTTTTCTGGTGGCTACTTCACTTTCCTACACAGATGTGAATTGCAATTCGGCCAGGAGCCAGTGGGTTGCTGTGTCGAACGCAACTTTGGAAGCCTCGCCATCCAATTCTTTCGGGCGGGTGGGGGCAGCGAGGGGCTGAGATCAGCCAACATCGTTCCATCCATTGGAGGCAAAGTTTGGTCGGCTGAGGTCTGCAGTAAGGGATCTTCCTTCAGATTTGCGGATTCGCTTGCATCTAAGGGCCCTGGGATTCGCTTCGAGCAAGTGAGCTTGGGCCAAGCGTGCCCTTCGTGAGCTTGGAGCCAGACCTCCGTTTTGCTTCCTTTCAACTCTTGTTTGCAGGGGTTCCCTTGTTTGCAGTGGGTTGCACTTCCTTGATCTGTTCGGGAAAGCTCGCAGGTACTGCAAAGGGGGCCCTTTTTGCTCTTTTTGCCACGGCCACTTGCGTCACCGGAGGTCTGGGAAGGGCTTCTTCCGGGCAGTTTTAAAGGTTGTGCCGCACAAGGCATGCCCTCGCACGCCAATCCGGGCGACCAGCGCTGGAAGCTATCGTTGAAACACGATGACTTTGATCATGGTGAAAGAATAAGGCCAGCATTTGCAGGGGAAGGGAGTCATTTGTACATGCAGAAATTTAGTTGAGTCAGTGCGTTGACGGATGCTAATTTCAGGGCATCACAACAGAAATGAAGAATTGCGCGCGTGATTGGCCGGCTTGTGCTGGTTTGGGGGAAGTCCTACTCTTGTTTTGAGGTACACCCGGCCCATCGATTGGTGGCTTGCCAACGGCCCATGTCACCAGAGCTATCCGGAGATTTTGGGATGGGTGCACGCAAAAGCGCATCAACCATTGGCTGCAGCTCGAATCTAGTTTTCGCTCGCAGCTCCATGGGGCTACAGCAGCGCAGGTCGCCTCCGAATTCACTGGTTGGCACGGGTCAGCTTTTTTGCACGGCAAAGCACGCACAAATGGCTAGGACCGCTTGATTGGAAGATATTGGCAGTTGGGCATTGTTGCTGAAGGCGGTGTTCTCTTCACAGTTTTAGTTACAACATGTTGCATTGACTTGTTCTGAAGATACTTACTTTTGGTTTTGCCTCTTGGCCCTGCCGTCTTTCTTGTGCACAGAGCACAGCCCAACCCAACTCAACCCACCAACTAACCAAGCAACCAACCAACCAACCAACCAACCAACCAACCAACCAACCAACCAGCCAGCCAGCCAACCAGCCAACCAACCAACCAACCAACCAACCAACCTCCGAAGCTTGTTTTTCTTGAAAGCGAACCCCTCAGTTTTTTTTTTTTTTTTTTAAGCCCTGTAAGCCGGTAAGTTGATGATGTTGCCAGCACCCGGTTTGAGCACAAGCTTTGCAAGGGCCCAGGCTGGCCGCCCGTGCGGCAATTCTCAAGACATGATCGCAGTGGGGAATGGGACCCCCTATGAACCATGCCCTGGTTCCCACAAGAGGGATCCCCTCTGGAACTGAGAACTAATACCAAGTACGGACACGGTTTTCGCCACCTTATCACACACCTACCCAGGTACAGTTCCCCCTTCGGCTTCCCAGGACAGTGGCGGACACAATCAGCGGTATACCATCGTTTTTGGCGAGCTTGAGTTTGCTGAAGCTTCCCTTCGCAGACTTTCATTTGCCATGGCCTTGGAAGCAAGCGATCCGCCACAAGAATTCATTTGCATGGGCCGACCGTGGCTTGGAACGGGCCGAGCGAGCAGATCCATCGCCGGGCCGGAGGTTTTCGCACCGATTGCAAAAGGCCATGTCTCGCTGGCTTCCAGCTCCTTGCGCCAAGTTTGGCTGACCCTTTCCCTGGGGGGTTGGTGCATCTGATCAGGTTTGCCCTGAAACTCTTGGTGCTAACAACTTAATGGTCGCTAGGTGTCCTTTCGACAATGGGATAGTTACAAGGCCATCAATACCAAGGAGCTCGGAGCCGTAGGCTTGACCTTTTCCATCTCGGGCCACCTTGGCATTGGTAGATGGAGTCGAGGTGTCGCCGTTATGAAGCGTTGCACCCTCGCACATGGAGACATGCGGTTCCATGATTCAAGAGAGACGGCTTTTGAAGTCATCCCCAAGTCGTTCGCGCGAGAAGGGCGCATGCCTCTCGACTTAACATGCCTTGGGGAATGTCCCGGTGGCCTTCAGCTGAGAGGCAAAACATGCGCAGACTTCAGGCATTGCGGACACCAGGGTTGGGCAAAGTGTACAGCCAACCCCTGGTCTGCCTCAAAGGTTGTTGATTCAGTAGCTGTGACATGTTGGAACGGGTAGGCCTAACCTTGCCGGACCCATTTCCGGCTCTTTGCGCATGAATAAGCCTGTATGAGTTCCAGGTGCGGCCAACATATCCGGGTTCAGTGGCGGTTCCCGTGGCGTTGGAGTCTTAGCATGGCTTGCTGCTGTGAATGTGAAGCCGGCAGGTTGTGTGTCGGGTGTGCTGTATTGAAAAGGTTTATATGGCTTGGTTGTACGCCTTTGCTCTGCCGTTTGAACAGGAATAATGCAGAATGCTAGAAAGTGCACCATAGTTTATGGCTGGCGTGGTGAAATAAGGTTGGAGACGTTTCTTTTTTGTTGAAGATCAGATGCCGTTCTTCAAGAAGGAAGACCCATCCCGGATCAACAACGAAGCGCTGGGTTCTTTTATTTGGGGGTGCAACCCAATATAACCCAATCCACATGGGTTGTCACATCTTTCTCAAGCACTGTATGGCTGATTGTTTTGTTGGGTCCTGCTTGCCGTTTCATCCAAGGACGATTGTCACGGCGGGTGTACCTCGAAGGGGGCCAAACAGTATACTCAGTATACCTTACACATGTATAGGCAGTGTGTGGCCAAAAAGGGAGGTGCGGTTGCCCAGAAAATTTGGAGGGGGGGTACACCCCAGACCCATCCATTCATCAAACTTATCATTTGGGTTTTTGTGGCTCGGAGTTCCCCGTTTCACGGCCGGTGACTTTGGGTACTTGCAACTAGTAAGCCGTGAGGCGCTCGGATTCCTGGCCGGCGACGGCAGCAAGCCGCAGTCTAACTCTTGCATGCGCCAGGGAAAGCAACGGCAACTCCAGATGCATTCCCGGGTGCTAAATAGCCAACTAGCGTTAATTTCCAAGGGCCCAGCTGCAACATGGCCCAACCACGCACCCATACCCGCAACACACCACAGAGGCAATGAATTGCCTCCCGCACATACCCTGGGTTAGTGTTGTCTAATGTATGGCTATGTCGTTTGGTTGAGGGTACCTGCCTTGCGATCTTCGACACGGGGAACCAAAGGTGAGCACCGGGGACCCGTTTTTGTCGGGGGTCTTCCCGCTATGCAAACCGAAGCCGCCGGTACAATCCCCGAGTCAACGAGCGAAACCGCCAGGCCGGATTCGCGCGGGCCCCCGCCCCCGGCCTGCGGCACGAGGCCAACACCAACTTCGCCCGGGCCATGGAACGTGAGGCGGCGAATGAGCGTGTTTTTTCCACCAGACCAAAGGGAATCAACATGAAGCCCTGGTTTCAAGGGTAAATGTCCATGAGGTAAGAGCCTTTGTGTTTAACTTTGGGCCTCAGATGCAGGTGGCGCCGACCGATTTAGGCCACAGGACTCTTTCCCGAGGCCGTGGTCGTGTCTGAAGCATCTGTACAAATGCCTACAGTTTGGAGGGTTTCAGCTTTGGGACAGTATGGGGTTGCCACTTAAAGGGAGTGAACACCGTCAAGATCGCAATTTTCCAAGTAAGGAATTTACGCAAAACAACTCAAAATTGTTTTCTGTTTTTGGTTCGAAAGTAAAAGGCACAATTCAACCTTGCAATGAAAGAAATACAGTTAACATTGTTAAATGTGAATATGAATGTAGAATCATCGTGACTACGTGCTGGAATACCCTGTAAGACTGCTGTTGGGATTGGCGCGAAATCGACAGGTTTAGTATTGGTTTAGAATTCTAAAAGTCGTATTGGCGATGCAGGGGTTTGGGACAAACAAAGTTGCTTATCTTTTGGGGTGCAATTTATCAACAGGCGCAAGAGATTAAACATGATCGACCCCACAAATTCCCTCGTCACGTGTCTACCCAGGGTCACCAGTTGCAACAGGCTCCTGATACATTCCCCGAGCCAAGGTGTTGACCCTGCACTTGGTCCTGGAGCGGCTTGGTTGACAAATGGGTATGGGTCAAAATTAAACCACCAGGGGACCGCAGGTTTTGGTGCATGGTTCCGCTTACCAGGGTTCCAAAAATGGGTACATATTTTTGACGCACAGCCAGATGAGTCAACATGTCTAGAGCGCCACACTGCGGCCGCGGAAGGTTCACGGATGCATTTTCCCGCGAATGCTCGCGGAAGGGACGTGGCTGATGAAGCTTTTTTCAAGAGTTGCTAGCAAATCGTGCACAGTTCCCTCGCGGAAGCTACCTTCCTCGGAAGGCCCGCGGAAGCACTTATGTAAAACCATGCTCGTGAAAGGTAATTACCCTTCGGAAGCTTTGCGAGAGATAAGGCGACAAAAACCACCACTTAGATGGCTCCGGGTTGACCAGCCACGTTGGGGCCTAAGGCGCAAGCGGCAACTTCCTCGGATTTTTGGACCCAAAATTGGTCACACACGAGCTGAGAAAAGGATGGCAAACTTCCCAAGGAAGTGCCAGTATTTTCCTCCCTGTTTTCGGCAACGTGATGTTTCCAGCTGCTCCTTGCTCTTTTGCGGCACGGAGCAAACATTCCTTTGAACTGCATGCAGACAGGACAGGCTTGCATGCATATACTGATGCTGGTCATGACGGCTATGGCTCCCAGAGCAAACATCTTTGTTTTGGGGCTTGCAAATGTTTTGTCGCGCCTTGCAACCAAGGGAACCTGTCCTTTGCGCAAAAGAATGCAGTGCGCTTGATCATTGCACCCCAAGAAGGCAAACATCACGCCAGCTGCCCTTGATCCTATTGCCGAGTCTGACGTGCAAATGCTGGACTTTTGCATTAACGATAGTGCGGCAAACTAGATTGTGGCAGGAGGCAAGCTACATCTCACATTGAGGACGCACCCGAGCTCCAATTGACAAAGATTTCCCGAACTTTCCGACTATTAGTATGACTCAAAACACTGTGATGTTCCCTTCATTGCTTGAGATGTGCAGGTGCACAGTAGGGTAGGGATTGTTCTTCTTCTTGGCGTCAAAGAACCATGATCAAAGGATTCTTGGAGGTTTTTGGGCGGGATCCTGGTGGTCAATGAGCTGAATCTTGCAGTTTCAGTTCTGCGGCGGTCGTTTCACGCCTCATTGCCCAGGCTGAACGGCTCAAGCTACCTGGCAGAGGCGCGCGAATGAGAGCCTTGGCTGGTTCTTTTATTCTCTCTTTCATTAACACAACACCTAACACGGGGTCCAGTTAAGAGGACACCGATCTGCCAGGCAACATTGAAAGACAAGCATAGCGACCTCATGAAGAGCTCCATTGCTTGAGGCCCCCTTGTGTCAGGTTGGTGAAATACGATACTTTCCCCATACTATACATTGACATGTGCACATATTGGTCTGATTGCGGTGCTTCGTGTGAATCATTGCTGTGGACTGAAGTATTTGAGCCTTCCTGCCACCAATACGCGCCTTGGTCAGTGTCGCACTGCATTGCTTCTGCAAAATCAGACGCGGACGCGCTGGTGCGCCCGGCGTTTTCTTTCTGACCTGGCTTGGTCTTAGCATTCGGAAGCATGGGGGCCCACTTTTCTAAGCGGCTGCGGGAAATCATGCCATCACAGTGTGAAAGTCAGGCTGTCTTGTGTGTCCAATGAAACGACGCAACGCTTCCAATCCGAAATGAGAAGTTTAAGGATCGGAATGGGCGAGCTCGATATGCCAATGTTTCTGATATATGTTGGACATTCCCTGATGAGTTTTCCCCTCTGAGAGGTTGGGGAGCGCAGCAGCACCCTTCAAACCGGAGGCGTGGCAGCGCTGAGCGCCTTTGTCGCAGCACAACATTTGTGGGCCATTGGTGTGGCATTGCCATCATATTGGGCCATTATATATGTTGTTCTTGTTGATTCGTCTGAGTCTTTGTGTGGGCGTGTTCGTTTTTGTTAGGCCAGAGTTTCAAAGCATGATCTGGCTTGTGCGACTGGCTTCTTGGTTGCTCAGCGAGATAGCATTCAGACCTGTGCCTGTTTGGCCAACCATTCTCACATGTTGTTACCCTTGATTCGCCAGCCCAATATGCATCCAGCAATCCAGTACATTCTCAACCGCAGACAGAGGGCCACACAGAGTCACCATCGAGCCTTGCCAGCGTCGAGTTACCATCTCATGGCCTCGGCAGCATGCCCGCCACGGGCGCTCAACGGAGCGTCCTGGGCCCCTCTGGCGCCGGCTCCGCGGACTGCGGCGCTTCAACTCCGCACCGCGCCCCACAGCGCGCAGCGCACCGCGCACTTCGCTTGTGCGCTGCTGGTGCTGCGGACTGCGCGAAGAGCGGTGTGCAAGGCGAGCAGCGTTTTCTTAGTTTTGTGTTTGTGTCTCTTTGTAGGTCCCGGTGTTTGTGTGTATTTGCGTCTCTGTGTGTCCCTGTGTGTTTGCGTGTTTGTGTCTGTATTTGCACCTTTTTTTGTGTTTTATGAATTTGCCTACGTTTGTTTGGTGTGCTTGCGCCTACTTGCGCCAGCTTGGTTGCTTGTGTGCTTGTGTAATTGTGCGTGACTGTGATTCTTGCTTGCTTGCTTGCTTGCTTGCTTGCTTGCTTGCTTGCTTGCTTGCTTGCTTGCTTGCTTGCTTGCTTGCTTGCTTGCTTGCTTGCTTGCTTGCTTGCTTGCTTGCTTGCTTGCTTGCTTGCTTGCTTGCTTGCTTGCTTGCTTCTGTGTATGTGTGTGTTGATGTATTTTGTTTCAGGCATGCCTTCTTTCATTTATTTTTATTTTTGTTTCCTGTCTTTTTTTTATTGCTTGCTTTCTGTCTGTCTTTCTTCAATTTCTTCCTTTGATCCTCTTTGTTTCTTTGCTTCTTTCTTTCTTTCTTTCCTTTGCTTGTTTGTTTGTCTGATTGTCTTTCTGGTTGTCTGTTTGCCTGATGCGCGTGTGTTTGTGAGTGTGGATGTTGGGGCATTGCTTCAGACATCCTTGAAGGCGGGCAACGCAGCAGTGCGTCGGATGCAAGCTCTTCCTGGCGATCCTGCGCGGCAGATGCCGGACATCCCGAACTGCCTGGCAGATGGCACGCCGGGAAGCAAGGCGAGGAATTGAGCATGTTCTCATGGGCAAACTCGAGGGGTTATGCCACACAGGTTTCTGTATTGTGTGTTTTTGTTTGTGAGATTTTGTGAGCGCACATGCGCACGCATGCGTGCATGGGTGCGCACGTACGTAGGTGATTGGGTGGGAGTGGTGCGTGGGTGGGTGTCTGGCAGCTTGGGTGTAACAGTGTAGCAACTCCTTAGATGCAGCTGATCGCCCTTTATTAAGAAAACTCCCCCACTAACTAGCCAACATGTTTCTAGATGTTTTCCAAATGACCCAAGCCAACACTACTCACCGATTCATTGAGCTTAAAGCAGGGCGTTGAAGAGCAGAACCAAAACCGACGAACACCGGAAGACAACAGTGCCATAATTTTAGTTGGGGGGCTATTCAGCATCAGGGGAAGGAGTGCGGGATTGCTCGGGCAGACGTAGGGGAAGAACGAGCAGGCAACGACAGGGAAAACTGTCTTGAATGGCGCGGGGAGACGCACTGTTCGGGATTGATCGAAATCACGCATCAGTGCCCAGATGTTCAGAAGCATCCTCATGGTCAACGCCCAGAACGATATGTAGTTCCTGTTTTCTACCTGGTTCACTGGGCTGTCTGGGCATCCTTGCTCGTAGCTAGGCCGGCAATGCGGCATTCCGGAAGACCCAGCAGTCTTTTGGGAAGCCAGTGCGGCAGAAGCAAGTGCCGGAGCTCCAGGACTGCTTGGCTGATGGCACGCCCGTGAGCAAGGCCAGGGGTTGCGCACGTTGGCGGGCGGCACTTGGCGAGGGTGTTCATTTCTTAGGGTTGGGCGTTTGTCTGCACTGTCTTTGTTTGTGTGCGTGTGCGTGTGTTTGTGTTTGCCAGTGCGTGTTGTGCTTGTGTTTTGTCTGCTAGGGTGTTTTCCTTCTTGATATCCCACACAACTGTGTTTTGTTGTTGTGTGGTGTGTGGTTGGTTGGCTGGCCGATTGATTGGTCCGTTTTGAGTTGGTTTTGACTTGATATTTGTGACTTTGTTGATTAGTGATTGCTTGGTTGAGTTGCTGGTTGGCAGGTTGGTTGGTTGGTTTGTTGGTCGGGTAGAATGAATGATTGAGTGGTTGATTGACTGATTTGCTATTGGTTGATTGTTGGTGCGTCTTGACTCGGTTCGATCAATTGTGGTTTTGGTGCTTTTGTAGGTGTGATTTGTTCTTTGTACATGTGTATGTAGGTTGTTACTTTCGTTCGGCCGCCCTTGAAGGCAGGCAATGCGGCATTCCGGAAGACCCAGCAGTCTTTTGGGAAGCCAGTGCGGCAGAAGCAAGTGCCGGAGCTCCAGGACTGCTTGGCTGATGGCACGCCCGTGAGCAAGGCCAGGGGTTGCGCACGTTGGCGGGCGGCACTTGGCGAGGGTGTTCATTTCTTAGGGTTGGGCGTTTGTCTGCACTGTCTTTGTTTGTGTGCGTGTGCGTGTGTTTGTGTTTGCCAGTGCGTGTTGTGCTTGTGTTTTGTCTGCTAGGGTGTTTTCCTTTTTGATATCCCACACAACTGTGTTTTGTTGTTTTGTGGTGTGTGGTTGGTTGGCTGGCCGATTGATTGGTCCGTTTTGAGTTGGTTTTGACTTGATATTTGTGACTTTGTTGATTAGTGATTGCTTGGTTGAGTTGCTGGTTGGCAGGTTGGTTGGTTGGTTTGTTGGTCGGGTAGAATGAATGATTGATTGGTTGATTGACTGATTTGCTATTGGTTGATTGTTGGTGCGTCTGGACTCGGTTCGATCAATTGTGGTTTTGGTGCTTTTGTAGGTGTGATTTGTTCTTTGTACATGTGTATGTAGGTTGTTACTTTCGTTCGGCCGCCCTTGAAGGCAGGCAATGCGGCATTCCGGAAGACCCAGCAGTCTTTTGGGAAGCCAGTGCGGCAGAAGCAAGTGCCGGAGCTCCAGGACTGCTTGGCTGATGGCACGCCCGTGAGCAAGGCCAGGGGTTGCGCACGTTGGCGGGCGGCACTTGGCGAGGGTGTTCATTTCTTAGGGTTGGGCGTTTGTCTGCACTGTCTTTGTTTGTGTGCGTGTGCGTGTGTTTGTGTTTGCCAGTGCGTGTTGTGCTTGTGTTTTGTCTGCTAGGGTGTTTTCCTTCTTGATATCCCACACAACTGTGTTTTGTTGTTGTGTGGTGTGTGATTGGTTGGCTGGCCGATTGATTGGTCCGTTTTGAGTTGGTTTTGACTTGATATTTGTGACTTTGTTGATTAGTGATTGCTTGGTTGAGTTGCTGGTTGGCTGGTTGGTTGGTTGGTTTGTTGGTCGGGTAGAATGAATAATGATTGATTGGTTGATTGACTGATTTGCTATTGGTTGATTGTTGGTGCGTCTGGACTCGGTTCGATCAATTGTGGTTTTGGTGCTTTTGTAGGTGTGATTTGTTCTTTGTACATGTGTATGTGGGTTGTTACTTTCGTTCGGCCGCCCTTGAAGGCAGGCAATGCGGCATTCCGGAAGACCCAGCAGTCTTTTGGGAAGCCAGTGCGGCAGAAGCAAGTGCCGGAGCTCCAGGACTGCTTGGCTGATGGCACGCCCGTGAGCAAGGCCAGGCGTTGCGCACGTTGGCGGGCGGCACTTGGCGAGGGTGTTCATTTCTTAGGGTTGGGCGTTTGTCTGCACTGTCTTTGTTTGTGTGCGTGTGCGTGTGTTTGTGTTTGCCAGTGCGTGTTGTGCTTGTGTTTTGTCTGCTAGGGTGTTTTCCTTCTTGATATCCCACACAACTGTGTTTTGCTGTTGTGTGGTGTGTGGTTGGTTGGCTGGCCGATTGATTGGTCCGTTTTGAGTTGGTTTTGACTTGATATTTGTGACTTTGTTGATTAGTGATTGCTTGGTTGAGTTGCTGGTTGGCAGGTTGGTTGGTTGGTTTGTTGGTCGGGTAGAATGAATAATGATTGATTGGTTGATTGACTGATTTGCTATTGGTTGATTGTTGGTGCGTCTGGACTCGGTTCGATCAATTGTGGTTTTGGTGTTTTTGTAGGTGTGATTTGTTCTTTGGTTTGTACATGTGTATGTAGGTTGTTACTTTCGTTCGGCCGCCCTTGAAGGCAGGCAATGCGGCATTCCGGAAGACCCAGCAGTCTTTTGGGAAGCCAGTGCGGCAGAAGCAAGTGCCGGAGCTCCAGGGCTGCTTGGCAGATGGCACGCCCGTGGCATCAGCCGGCAACAGGTCACTGAAGGGGCACGGGGCGCCTTCAAGTTCAGTCACTGCGCCTTGCGCAGGGGAGGCGATAGCGCGGCAATGCGAGTCCAGCTTGCCGGATGGCACTGCCCGCAACGCGGCCGGCAACTTGGTGAACTACCCAGAGAAGATGCCGCCGGATTTGGTGCCAGCTCCCTGGTTGCAGAGTCGTCAGCTTGAGCGAAAACGAACAGAGAATGAGGTAGAAATCCTTTTCAGCCCCAAGAGCGGCAAGAACGGCGCGGCTGGTACGCCAACAAATGGCGACAGCTCGTCCCGAGCTGACGAACCGCTGCGGAGATCAGCGCGCTTTGCTGAGCTGAAATCTCAGCTGAGCCGAGGGTCTGGCATCAAGACGCCGAATGGTGACAGCGCTGCGCAGGACTCCCGTTCGCAGGACGGGAAGAAGCGATCTCCAAGCCTGGCGGAAGTCAAAGCAAGGTTGCAGAGTCTTCAATTGCAGAGTCTTCAACTTGAGCGAGAGCGGATCGAGAAAAGCCGGGATAGTGGAGCCCCGAATGGTAGCAGTCTTTTAGCTGACGCTGACGAGCCACTGCGGACATCAGCGAGGTTTGCCGAGCTGAAATCCCAGCTGCGGAGTCCGAAGGGCAAGAAGAATGGCACTGACTACCCTCAGCCTAAGGAGCAAAAAGAATCCACGCATGATGAATGGGAGGAAACGCTGCTCGTTGTCGCCTTTGTGGTGACTTTACTTTTCACCAGCGGACTCACCAACCAGGCCATGGAGCCGGTGGAGTATCGAGAGCCGGAGGTGGTTATTCAATCAGGTGCCCGATCCGGCGGCCTCGCAAATCTATTTGGTTGAAATGGAGTGGACTTGCGATGCGTTTCTTGTCACCCAAGGTCAGACCATCAAACTGGGCGGTGGCCATGGGGAAGTGGCATCCTGTCCCAGCATGGCCTTTACTCGAGTGTGCTTTCTGAGATTGTGTTGAGCGTTGTTTTTCTCTCCAGCAGTGGGTGACAGTGCAGAAGTTTGCAAGTTGAGATGAATGTGTGTCTTTTCCTCGTGCAAGCAACGATGGATAAATAGGGGCACAGATGCTCAAGAGTAGCCTCGCAAGCCCATAGACAAGGCTTTTCTGCGCTGTCTAGGTACAGTTGCGCGGGCGCCCCTTTTTTGGGGGGCGGGGCCGGTTTCCTTAATTCGCACAGCCAGAGCTTAAGGCCGTTCGTTCAATTGTCAATGCGCTTCCGGAAAAGGAGGGCGCCCAGTGGCAGCCGAATGCGCAATTCACTGTTTGACCTGAATGGGCATCCTTCAGATGCCACTTTTTTCTGGGTGTGCAAGATTGCAGTTGCATGACCATCTCAGAGGGCTATCCCTTCAATGATGATGCAATGTTCTGGAAATATGATGACCACGTTCCTTGCGTGCGGTTCCCGGTGCGAGTTGCGTTTGTGACGGGGCCTGGAGGAATTTCGAGCCGTCGCCTTGTTGCACGGCGGAGTTGGCAAGCTTGATGACCCGGGGGAAGCTGCTACGTCAAAGGCCAAAGTACGCTCGTTGGCCTTTGAAAGGGGCCAACTGTAAGTTGAGAAAGACTAAGACACACCAATATTAGAGGTTTGGTGCCCTCCCACCCTGCTGCCATGGAACTTGACAGAACGTCCCTAGAGGAGCATCGTTTAACTCGACCTTCCCTAGGTGCATGGCAACGTGCGGGAGGACCCTCCCTCCAAGCAGTGTCCCTTCTTTCAGGAGGTCTTTCCGCACGTGTCTTTTGGGGTGAAGGGATGCCACCCCATCGCAAAGAAAACCGCTTGCAGGGAGTGTTGGGCGAAGTGTCCACTTCTTGGCCGTTTAGGTGTTCCTTCAACGACCCTTCTTTGCTTTAGGTTTTTGTTCAGGGGACCTTGGTAAATCCACTATTTGGACCAATTGTGCCGTTTATTTGGGCTCGTTTCCACTTTTGGAGGGAAGCCCATCGATCGATATCTGAGAGATCCCAGAGGCGTGGTCATTTTCGACCCGACATACAGCCACTGGATCAGCTCGGAGGCACCTTTGGGGCCTGAGGAAGGTTTCTGGTTTTGGGTCTCCTGGCTGTGACGGCTAGAAATATGAACCTTTCCCTAGCTGCTGGCGTCCCCCTATCTATGCTCCAACCCTTTGCGCTTCCGTTTTCATGTGGCGTGTGGGCACGGGTTTGAGTTTTGGCTTGTGGGCGTGAACCATGAGTTTGTGTTTGGGAAACATTTCACCATGGGGCCGGACGCGACTCAGGCCTTGAGCTTGAGCAGTGTTGAAACATATGGGGCATTTTGCTATTTGCATCTCTTTGGGGACTCCCAGGCCGAATTCCTGCGTTGGATTTTGCAAGAAGCAGTGGCCATGTCTTATGCTAGGCCCACATTTCTTGCACTTGGCAGTGTGGCAGGCTAGATCAGTGAACCAGCTGTGAGACATCCGATTGCTCAAGTTCTCAACGTTTGTTCATTGAGGTGCAATCCGAATCACTGACCACGCATGCATGTTTGAATAGTTGCGGGAGACAGGGGAGGCTTTCCAACATTACGGTTTGCGGCTTGTGGTGTACTTGACCCGGACATGATCGGCATCGGTGTTGAATGTTCAATTTGCCCAGCACAAGTGCAGGTGCGTCAGCTCCAAAGGCTGCTGGAAGCCACAAGTACCTCAATTAATGTCCAAAGTTTGGCTTTGCCACACCTCCCCTAACATTCACTTGGCTTAGGCCAGACAGTGTCAAAATGAAGATGGCCATCCTGGTGTTTGCTCTCTGAGTGACGTTCGCCAAGATGTCGGTGCCTGGCCAGGCTGAGATGTTGATCTTCTATTGCAGCTCGGACCGACGTGTGGACACACTCAAGCTGGGTGGTGTCCCTCCCCTTCGAGCAACCCAAAACGGTAAGATCAAGAAAAGACACACGCACACACACACACAGACACGCACAGACACAGACACAGACACAGACACAGACACAGACACAGACACAGACACAGACACAGACACAGACACAGACACAGACACAGACACAGACACAGACACAGACACAGACACAGACACAGACACAGACACAGACACAGACACAGACACAGACACAGACACAGACACAGACACAGACACAGACACAGACACAGACACAGACACAGACACAGACACAGACACAGACACAGACACAGACACAGACACAGACACAGACACAGACACAGACACAGACACAGACACAGACAGACACACACACACACAGCCTGTTCAGGGGGTCACAAAAGCAACGTTGCATGTTACCCCTTGATCCCCCTGCAAAGGTCAGAGGAGCGTTCTCGAGCGCAGGCAAGGTAAGCCTCAACTCAGGCAGCATGTTGACAACGTCAGCTTAAACTACAATTTGGAGAAGCACTGGACCTTCCAAGTCAGTGATGGGGATGACCAAATGTTGATATGCGCTCAGAGGGGATGGGAGTTCCACTTGGGCACGCAGATTCCATGGACCTTGTGTCTCACAACTATGTGGCCCCCTTGGTTCCCATTGCTGGCTTCAGATCGATCACATTGTGTCATGTGGCGGGGGGGCCTTGTGCTCAGGCCATTTCTACCATCCTGAGATTGGGGAGGCGACGAACGGGTCGAGAGCCATGACGGGGGCCCTGAGGTAAGCCTGCGAGATGAAGGCCTAGATGCATAGGTAATGTGTGTGTGTGGTTTGTGTGTTGATTTTGGTGGCCCTTTTTTTCTGATCTTGAGACTCCAAGAGGGCTCCACTGAAATGGGGTTGCCCTCTTTTGAGAGACTCCCAGATACCAAAAGTGGCGAGTGTTTCCGACCATGTCCTTTGCGGAGCTGCTTGTTCCCGAATTTCCCGGCTCATGTTGCCAGTGTGCCATTGCAAGGCTTGTGAGGAGAGGTGTTTGTGAAAGTCGCATTTTTGTTCCTGCGATTTAAATAGGGATTCGAGTCGGCTGTTTGATGCATTGGTTGAGGCTGCATTGGATTTGCTTCACTCGGCATCCCTTCCTGCGGGGGCACCAGCGTGAGCTGAGAGCAGCTTAGGGCGCGGAATGCAGTGACCATGCTCAGCATAGGTGAGCAGGACAGGGCAATTCAGCTCTATTTGTCTTGGGATGCTCACACTCCTTGATCACGTCGGCCTTCCGGCTTTGCCTTTGGTGAGTTCAGGTTTGGTGGGAAATGGATAATAGTGGTGGCGAGTCGCACCAGCTCTGTGGTGCAGTCTCAGTGGTGACCTCGGCTCCTTACATCCAGCCAAGGAACCCCCCCAATTTGGGGACACCTGCAGAATCACGATCAGTGAGCCAAAGTTGGCAGGGTTCGCCAATTCAGCGAAGCGGTCTTTCTTGGCCGTGCAAGCAGGTAGTGACAATGCTTCAACAGCTCTTTGCCCGCGATCAAAAACAAAATGAATCCCCAGACTCATAAATTGAAATGGCCGCCCTTTTTGTTTTGATACATCGATTTGGTTTGCCAAGTTTGTTTATCGCTTAGCGTGCCTATTGCCAGCTTCGCTGGTCACTCCATGGAAGGCCATGGAACTCAGGTCCTTGGGAACTGGTCCGGGAACAGCTTCCTTGACCCTTTTCAGCACCCTTCTCCGCAAAAAGTATGTAGTTGAATTCGACCCCAGGGTCGCAACTGGGTCAAAGTTAGCTTCACCAGGTGGAGCGCTATGCTTTGCTGCTGCTCGCCCAGCTCATGGAGCGCCTGCAGGGCAGCGGCGTGGCAGGGGCCCCGGCCAAGGACGACATAGCTGGGAATAGGACGCGGACCCCATCTGCACCGGAATTGCTTCACTGCATACATGAAACGCTGAAGCCAGATAAAGATGGGCGGTGCACCATTTGGCAAGTCTTGAGCCGGCCCTGTCTTTCGAAACGAGATAAGGGGCGTGCAGGCCAAACTGCCCTTTACATCATGAAAATAATTAGATGGCACAGCGCCTTTGCATCCTCAGTGTCCGTAAGCATCTGTAAGCAAAGATGATGACAAAACCAAAATGAAGGAGAACTGTGCAATCTACTTTCACCACACTGTAGATTAGCATTTACCCACTTCTTCAGTGGCCCCTCCTTCCTTGTTGTTGGGTTCCGAAAGCTCTAGATGTTCCTCGGCCCCCCACAGAAGATCACAGAAGATTTCGTCGCCAGCTGGAAATCGCCAGGTCCGAGGTTCCTCCTTGGCACCAGCGCGAGGGCCTTGGGCGTGGTGTGCCCTTTGAGACGATGCAGCAATTTCCAGTAGAATATAGTGCTGATTATGCATGGGGCTGACAGAAATCTTGCCTCAGCCGCTCAGGATTTCAGCAGAGTGAAGCTGCCTGGGGCACAGTGCACCGGGCCGCCCTTGCCAGCATAAGTGTAGTGTCGGGCAGATTCATAGGATGGCTGTTGCCATCCCCGGCGGTGGTGGATCTTCGTTTCGACGACAGACCTCACTTGAGTATGCAAAGCGAGCCAGAGGGTCTACCAAAGCTGCGCTTTGTTCAAAGGTGCAGCTTGGTTCTTGCAGACGGGCTCAACCCCATAACGTCACTCTGGCAAGTTCTTATGCATGAGTCAGGCCGCCACTCAGCATCCAATGCGCGAGGTTGGTCGCTGCGCGGCCGCGCTTTGAGTTCCAAATGCTGCGTGCGCAGAAATTGGTGCGGGGAAGACTAGCGCTGGCCCGCCCCTCCTGACAAAGTCCTGGGGTCACCCCGATGCCCATCTTTTCCCGTACAATCCTGAGCATGGTTGCGGGAGAGTTTGAAGGTTTTTGCCTGCCCCGAGGATGAAGCAACCTGCGTTCTTTCCCGCAGTTGTGTCATTATAGGGCTTGCGCACTGGATTGCGCACAGAGCAACCAGCGGACCGCATGTCGCCAGCCTCTTCAAGAGCTAAATGAGCCATACTCAGCAGAAAGACCACCTAAAATCCAAATCACAGCGAAACTTGAGCAATTTCGCGTGGCAAAGCCATGAGCAAGCTGCCAAACCCAGGCCTGCCAAGCATCCTAGCTTGAAGGTTTGCACTACGCATTCGGCTTTGATTGCGAAAATTGAGAAATTGACTCAGCTATTGCCTTTGAGCTTGGGAAATTGACACACAGCATGTAGCTCGCTCTGGCAAGTTTGCGGGGGAATGACAGTTCGGCTGGCGCCATGCAACCTAGCCTCATCATGCAGAGCGAGGATCGCGAGGGGCTTGAGGGGTTTGAGGGGGGCCTTGTGTTAACATGGCTCGTCAGATATGACAGCCTCACAAATGGGCAGTTGTGTTCCCTGGATTTTTTCCACAAAGGGCACCATCAAAACAGGCCCGCGATGTTTCCGCTGAGGCGCCTTCTTGACGTGATAGTAGGCCTTTTTGCTTGACTTCAGCGTTGTCCTGGAAAGACTTGTTTGGTTCTTTTTTCCGGAAAATGCTTTGCGGCTTTGCAACTACAAGTGGAGGCCTTCCGTAGGACTTGCAATGGGAACCTGACTCACCGGAGGCTCCGCCTCTTGCAATGGGACTCCGTCCTCTTTGGGTACTCTCCCTGTCTTGGCCAGCAAAGTATTTCGTCCAGTGTTTCAAAGAGCCATGATGAATCAGTTTGTTTGTTATTTGGGGGACTGGCCTTGAAGGGGGGATACGGGGGATACCCTTTGCGAGCTTGGCAAACTTGATTGTTCAAGCAACCTGTAGTCATAATTTTGCTCCCTTTGGATAGCTGGTTTTGTTAAGATCTGTTATAGTTATGGCAACCCGTGGGACTCTGACAGAAAGTAGCATTGGAAAAAGTATTGGCAATAGCCCTTGTGGTTTGCATTTGTATTGCTTATTCCTTTGATTTTGTGGGTGTGGGGGGGGGGAGGTCAGCGGTTCTTGTGATAAGCAAACATGCATATTGGGTGACCACATGTTCAATCCTTGTCTGAATACCAACATATTCTTGGTGAGGGGATTCAGGGGCGAGCAGGTTATCATTCATCGGGTGGGTGGATTACTAGTTAGTCAGGTCCCAACATAGCGGTGTCCCACTACCAATTCCCCCCCACACTCTGAACAATCCAGATAAACTGCGCATTTTAGATAATTTCATTGGTTGGAGGCGGTGGATGGGTCATTTTTTGCCACTTGAAGAGCAATTCGGAAAGCGTCACTTTAATGGACACTCTTGTTCAGGGGAGCTGATTCCTTCTGATCGGCCACAGGACGCGGAAGCTCCTCCTTTGCCGCCCCCGGCGAGCCCGCCAGAGGCTGGCGTCTCTTTTCATTTGGAGCGGGGCTTTGGCACAAATTCACACGGATGTGAAACAACTGATTGGGCAGTGTAGCAAAAGCGCGCGGCAAATCACATGGTTTTGTTGCATGGCAGCCCAGAAGGGCATCACATCACTCACGACTGTTTTCATCCAAGAAGGATTCTTGCAGGTCAGTGAGTCCGACCTGCAGGGTGAGTGAATGATGTTAATTTGCACAGGTGGGCCGGCTCAGACATTTGTTTTTGGGGCAGGGCAAGTGCAGCAGGGTCCTTGCTTGTCATGCATATGTTAACAGGTCATTGCTTGCCCAATACTCACCTTTGTTTGCTGCACAAATCAGCAAAAATATCGGAGCTTCTCAAAGGCAGGAAGTGCTTGCCTGGCGAGAGCCATGTATGAAAAGCGGGCCCCCAGTAATACATGAAAAATCAGGCCCAAATAGAAGCTTCCGAAATACAAAAAGTGGAGTTACCTACACCTGTTTTGGGCACGGGTTCGCCACGGTCTTCCCGCGGGTTCGCCACGGGTTCGGAATGTTGCCCAACCGGAAGGTGTTCGCCAAATTTGAATTGCGTGGCAGGCGCAGCACTTTGGCAACCTGAGGTGCAGATTTCGTGACAGGCGCAACATTTTGTTCTCATGCGCAGCAGAAGTCGTGACAGGCGCAGCACTGTGGGAAGGTGAGTCGCGCGTTTGTGAATCGCATTGGAGTGGACGCGCGGGCTGCTGCATGCCGATGATGCTCCCCACTTTGAGGTGCAGATTTGGGGCCGGCGCAGCGCTTTTGCAAGGTCAAGTCTTCAAGTGCAGATTTCATGGCAGGCGCAGCACTTTCGCAAGGTCGAGTGTAGACTTCGTGGCATGCTCAGCACTTTCGGAAGGTCGAGTGTAGACTTCGTGGCAGGCGCGGCGCTTTCTGAAGGTCAAGTTCTGCATATCGTAGCAGGCACGGCACTTTCACAAGCTCGAGTACAGATTTCGTGGCAGCGGCAGTGGTCAGAGAGCGAGAGAGAGAAAGAAAGAGAGAGAGAACGAAAGAAAGAAAGAAAGAAAGAAAGAAAGCAATAATAGTTTCCAGAAAGAAAAGTTTCGCAAGGTCGAGTACAGATTTCGCGGCAGGCGCAGCACTTTCGCAAGGTCAAGTACAGATTTCGTGGCAGGCGCAGCACTTTCGTAAGGTCGAGTACAGGTTTCGTGGCAGGCGCAGCACTGTCGCAAGGTCAGGTGCAGATAGATAGACAGGTGGATAGATTGATAGGTAAGTAGACACATCGAGAGAACAAATGGAAAGAGAGAGAGAGGGAAAGAAAGAAAGAAAGAAAGAAAGAAAGAAAGACTAGAGAAAAGAAAGAAAGAAAGAAAGAAAGAAAGAAAGAAAGAAAGAAAGAAAGAAAGAAGAGAGACCAGGAAAGACAGAAAGACTGAAATACAGACAGAAAGACACAAAAAAAAAGAAAGAAACACTATATAAATATCGGAAGAACGAAAGAAAGACTGAAATAAAGCGAGAAAGAAAGAAATAAAGCAAGAAAGGAAGAAAGGAAGGAATGAAGAAAGAAAGGGAAGAAAATAAAGAAAGAAAGAAATAAAGAAGCGAGAAAGGTCGAAAGGAAGATGGAAGGAAACGCAGAAAGAAAGAAAGACCAAGCAAGCAAAGGACACTCCACCTGCCAACTGCCAACTCGACTGCGGCAGCCAACCCGACCAAAAAGACGCGCGGGCATGGTGCGGGGGATGTTTGTTTCTCGTCCAAGGCACATGTCCTCTCTAGAAACTTCCGTCCTCCAGCTCTGCTGGAGCATGCCTGGTACAATTGTAATACATGAAAGCCGGGCAGGCAGGGAAGATTCTGTTGGAGGACCCGGTTGAATTGAATTTCCAGGAGGAGGGGTAAGCTCCCTTTTATGAGAAGGGGCGCAACATTTCCTTTCGAATCGCCTTAGACTTTTGCAGGGGAGCCCCGTGATGGCTCAAGAGGAAACTCCCCTAATTAGCATCAAAGTTCGAAGTGACCGCTTTCCTCACAACATGGGTTGCTTCTTTGTCGGCATCAATCTAGGGAGAGTGGTTGGACCACTCCAGGGTGCTTGGCCGGACGTGTGGCTCAACCCCCCGCAGGGACGACGCCCTGAAGAAAGCAAGACGCGTAAAGCTGGGGACCATTCCCAAGCCAGTTGTGCCAACACTTCTCACTTGAAAGGAACGCCCCTTGTTTAGTGGCACAAGCTTGAAGCTCTGAGCCAAATTCCGGCAAATTTGTGGACCCTTAGGGTCGGGTATGCCTTTTGGGCTTCCATTTGCTTAAGAATGTGGTTTTTGTATTTCCAATTTTGGTTTTAAATTGAATCTACCACTACTGGAAATGTGATATTCCCACGCGGCTTACGCAAATGGAAGCTGGCGCGGCTTGTCATACCCCACGGCGACTGAATCTTGGAGGATGCCACGAGCTTCGCGAGCGCACCCTCGCGGCCGGCATGGTTTCTGGTGCAGAGCCCTGGCCAAGTTGCTCCGGAAAGTGTGTTGCTGTTGCATGCCTCAGCTCTGACAGCACTAAGGGCCATGCCTGCCAAGTGAAACCCGCACACACACAAGTATTTATATGTGGCCATGTAAAAGTATACGTGGCTATGCATGCACTGCTGTGTTATGTGCTGTTAGGATATGTGATATGTCGTTGGCGTGTTATGTGAACGCAATGTATAGCGATGCAATGTAATGGGATGTAGCACAATGCTCGTGTAATGTACTGCAATGTATTGCAAGGTAACGTACGGCAAGAAGCTAGTGATGTAATGTAATGCAATTTGCCGTGGTGTAGTGCAATATACTGTATGCTGAAGGTTTGTAAATAGTGGTGGCTTCAGCACCCAACACCTGGAGAACTCTCAGTACGAAGGTTTGTATGCATTCAGAATTGATGTCATACATCTTATGTATGCATGTGGTGAAATGCGCTATTTAATGCACCTGTGCAGTAAGTGTAACGCACTGCGTTGTATGTGCCTTGGCGGTTGGGGGCCGCACCCTTCGCTGCCCCTAGCTTTGCTACACCCAAGCCAACCCTGAACCACCCCAGGTCCAACACATAGTCCCACAGTTAAGTTAGTATGACCAAAATCTAAGGCTTCCTCCTCAACCTGATCCTACACCAAACGCCACCCTGAACCACCCTAAGCGCAACTCCTTCAATCTCTGAACCAATGTCGCAAACACCTAATCACGGTTAAACCCAACTTGAATCGACTTGCAAACCACCCTAGGCCTCAGCCTAAACTAAGCTACCCCAGCGCCAGGGTCTCTAAAGCCACCTGAGTCCATCACCCGCACTGCGTTGCCAATGGCTTGTATATCTTTCAAGTGTTGCACCTCGGCCGAATGGAAACAGGACTGGCAATTGCAAAGAGAATCTCCGGTCCGAAAGCCTCCCCTCGCGAGAATTCACTGGTGGATCGAAATGCCGGAGTGGGCCACAAGTGCAACTTTGCTCTCGGAGGGGATGCATTGGATGGGTTTGTCGGCAGAGCAAAGAGGCACGGATCCAGACAATTACTGGCAGGGGTAACTAGTTACTCATCCAATGGGAAAGGGCTGTCCCTCAGGCTGCAGGTTCTGGGCATAAAAAACTGGGAGGTTCAAAGTCAATCTTGTGCTATGTGTGTGTTTTGTTTTGCGGCTCACAGATTAGGATTCAGGACCCCCCCCCAGCTCGCCCCCAGCTGCTGGACGCTCAGGAACGCATTGCGGCCTGAGTGAGGGACTCAATGGGCCTTGCCAAGCGATCACCTGCCGTGACCCATGTCATGTTAGGAGCTTAGAAGCCATAGCAGTCCCGGGTTTCACTGGGGATGGTTGAAACCTCCACCTTCGGGGCAGCTTTTACCATCCCTTGTTTCATGCAAGAGGTTCGCAGGCCTCTCATGAGGTGGCTGTAATTGCAGTACCCGCTCCTGTCCAGCAGAAGCTGGTTGGCGGCCCGCGTTGTGCGAGGTGCAGCGTTGACTTCCCACAAATCACTGAGATTTGTGAAAGGCCGGGGCCGGCCGCTTTTTTCATGACGGCGCGAGATCAACCCTGTACGGCACACGCACACCTGCTGGTGAGTGAAGTGGAGCTTGTTGCTGTGCAGCCGCTCGTGCCACTTCGGGCCATGTCCACCCAAGCCATCGTTGGAGGCTTGTGGTCAGTCGTGCAACAAACTTTAGCCCTTGCGTAGTTTTCCATAATTTTGACAGCATCCCAGCACGTGAGCATCAACAGGGCCTTCTTATTTTAGAACATGTATTTTAGACTACTTCAACATCACCTTTTGCGCAAGTTTTGTGGGAGTTTCCGCTAGGTAGGGCAATATCTGGAACTCTTGATCAAGTCGTACTCGGAAGGCTAGAGATGCAGCCGCTGGAGACAAAGGCTACGGTGGCGGTGCTGGCAAAAGCCTTGAAAGACAGGAGGCGCGCTGGGCCGAGCCGCTCGTGGCTGGCAGATTGCGCGATGGGCCACTAGAGGCGCACTTCTGGTTTCCCTTGGTTCCAAGTGGCGTTTGCATGTCTTCAAGCCTCAGCGAGGGCCGAGGTGCATCGTGGAGAGAGTTCTATCTGATTTTTCCAGACCATCTAACGCCCAGACACAGTGTTCAAAGGGGGATGGCATGGGATGGCACTACACAAGGGGCCATGCCGCGATGGGATTGTTGCAGCCAGGCATCCACTTCGGGTTTGGGGCTTAGAGGGGCGGTCTGCTGGGGCATTGTGTGAGCTGTGTGCACCGGCTCCGCCTTTTTGGCTGGACATCATCCTTCCGGTGCTTTGGAAAAGGAGACAGGAACCCGCGGCCGCGTACGATTCGAACTGGCTGTTGACGCCACACGCAGCCAGTTACGTGCTTCCCGAAAAACACGATTGCGATCCAGGAATTCAAAGGGAGGAGTTGGACTCATTCTACCATTCACCATGCGGCAGTGATTGAGGACCATTGGCACGCAGCTTTCACATGGCCATGAGTCTCGAAGGGGAACACTGGAACACCCTCGAAATTGTTTTCGGGAAATGAGTCCCCATAGAAATCATGTCCAAAAAAGGGCCCCAAATTCAATACCCACATTATGACCTCACACACTCGACATACAATTTTCGGCCACGTCCTGTCATGAAGCTGGCACACACGCACACCCACTGTTGAAAGCGGGCTCATCTAGCGCGACGTATGAAGCTTACTTACCCTGCAGATGTGGCGATCTTGCTTGTGAGAATATATTTCTGGAGCCAAGTTGCGCGCCCAGGTGAAGCTGAAAGCATTGACCATTGTGGTCGGCCCAGCTGCCGGGGTTTTACATCTGTGGCCCCTGTTCTTTTGGCAACGCGTGTGGACCTCTGGGGGCCATGTAGCGGCCCCTTCCTGCCGGGTTGTTCAAAATCCACCCGCCCAGATGGTAGTTGCTTTTCTTGTAGTGGTGCGCCTCCGGGGAGTATGGATTAGGATGAGGGATCCCCCCCAGTTTGAACATCCCAGTCTTCCGCCAATCGACACCTTGACCCGTGCGAGCGTACCTGGAAGAGCAATTTATGGTTAAAGGGGCCATAAATCTATTGAGTTTGTTGCCATGTCGGAGGCGGGGACACGCTTTCCTGGCATAGCCACCTCATTGTTGGGTGCGTTCCTCACAAGCACGACAGACAATCCTGGGTGCGAGCCAAGTGTTTCCGTGCTCTCGTGGTTGCGGGACACCTTGGCTTTCAATCGCATGGCAACCTGCTTGCTGACAGACAGCATGATGTTGTTTATTCTCCGCATTGGTGCCCCTCCAAGCTTGGTTTGACTTGACAGAACGAGCGGTACAGGCCAAAGAGGCGAACCAGCGGTCAAAGAATTGCGTGTGGATGTCTTCTTGAACAAGTTCTTCCTTTGGTTCTTTCCTGTGCTGGCCCACATCATGATCCCCGTACCTCATGTACGGAAGAGGTGCACATCCAACAGTGGCGACGGCACACGATTTTTGTGTTTCACAAACGGGGATTCTCCAAGATGCTCGGCGTCCTTTGGGCTTTCTTTCAAGCTTTTCGAAAGTTTGTACGTTGTCTTTGTTCAGTGGCGGCTGGGTCAAATGTGTTCAAAGCCTTTGAAGCCGTTCATTGAACTAAGATCACCCAACATGGGGTCGACATGTCAAGGCCAATGAGATGCTTTACAACCCACGCGCAGCCTGAGCCTTGGGGACCGAGGCTGTGAAGGATTTCTGTTGCCCAGCTGTTCAGCGGGTTCCTCACTAAAAAGGGTCAACCTGAAAGTTATTTTTATTTCGACTATGGTGGTCAATGGGCAACTGGGGATGAGTTGGGCCATGTTGACCACTACGAGCCGGATTTGTCTCCAAAGGGGTGAAGCACCCAAATGGGCTTACCTCTGGTCCCATTCCCGCCAACCTAACCCACAGCATCGACCAATGCATTGCTTTCTGAAGCCGGCTTTAAACGATAAGTCCGATAAGTATATAATCAAGCGCCCCCAAGCAGTTGAGAGGATAGGCCATACAAAGGGAGACAATCCAATGGTCATTACCTGGCAAGAAGGAGAATGCATGCCGCAGACGTTGTCACCATACCTTGATCCCAAACCAAAAAATCCCAAGACGAACCGATCAAAGCAGTGTGCCACAGAGAGCTCCACTAAAAGTGCGAACCTTGGGATCTCTTGGACTAGTGGAGCACAAGTTCGGCATGACAAATGCCTAGGATTTGAATGGCAGCCAGGGGAGCAGTTTGTTTCCGTTCTTTGCGGCAGGATTTGGGTAGTCTCACTGTTACCCCTCAGCACCTTCACGCTGGCAAGTCACCCGCGTTTCAGCCTAGCCCTCAGCCAGATCGGAGCTCATGTCCGGTGGAGAACCTTCCGTTCTGCTGTGGGCTGGTTCCCAGGCTTTTTTGCCGCACGCTCCCTGTGCTTGGTTGCTCTTTGGGGCAGCCTTCAACGTGTTGGCTTTTTGGGGAATCTGTTGGTTTCCTCAAACGTAGGCCATGAGCTTCGGGGGGCAAGCCCCTCATTGCAAGAGGTCAAGGAGTTCTCGGAAGTCGAGAACCTGCAGGGTGCACTGGAGGCAAACGGACGGGGGGGTTGTGCCAACCGCTCGGCTTTATGAAACGGGTTCTGCACATGGAACTAAGGGGCAAACTCATTTGGAATGATTTGACAAGCTACTCTTCCTCTCAACAGGCACCTCCGGGAGGAGCCTGGAAGATGCATTCTCCATGGCATGTGGGCACACTAGGGCACTTGCAAGTTTTTGCTTGCTGGCCCTGCACATGGATTGTCACCTGCGCTTAGGCAATTGCCATGCAGCGCGCCCGTGAAAGAGAATAGTAACGTCCAGGGGCATGCTCCAACAATGTTCCAGCCTATGAGATATGTATGAACGTTAACCCTCATCCCTGGGGGCACGTAGATAGCCATTTCCCTTGACCTACTTCAATCAAGTCAACACTCATTGCCTATGTGGCTGCAGCCTTAATTTGGCAAAGCTAAACACAGATGATGCACAACGTAGGTGTACATTCAGAACGAGTGGCTTTGTTGATGTCCAACGTAACGTGGGACCGCTGAGCGATGTTGCAGGTAGAACCAGTCTCACCGCTCTCCATTTCGACATTGCAAACTGGTTTGCTTGTTTGCTTGCTTGCTTGCTTGCTTGGTGTGTTTGCTTGTTTGCTTGCTTGCTTGGTGTGTTTGTTTGTTTGTTTGTTTGTTTTTTGTGTTTTTGTGCTTTCAGCTTTTTCTTTGCTTCATGTTTTTTAGCACAGGGTACAAAACTAGCTGCCCCATGCATTTGGCCAGGTGCTGCGGCAGGCCCGCGGCGGAGAGCTGGGCCCGGCCATGGATGAGAACGCCGGAGCCTCGTTTTCGCCGATGGCAGGGTGCTTCAGTTGCCTATTGCCACTGTCAAAGAATATAGTCAAAAATCGGTACCCAAAATGGAACCCTGGTAAATGGAAGCAATGACTAAAACCTGCGGTCCCCTGGTGGCTTTATTTTGACCTATACCAATTGGCCATGGGTCAAAAGCCCGTACCCCCAGTGAACATCCCAATCCCCACTAAAATAGACTAAGATGGGTGGCGCACCTACCCCAAAATGGTACCATTGGTTTTGACCCACAGCCATTTATTAATAGGCAGTTTGCTCCGTTCTGTCACTCCTGGGCTTACCAGAGAGAACCATCGAATCGATGATGTTCTAACTGGCATTCGTGCCCGTGAGATTGCTGCAGGGCTACATCCATCCTAGCCTTGACCCTCGAATCACAAGCCCGTTGAATTCGACCTCACTGAGCCACTGTGAATTTGAAACAGGCCCGCCCGCACCCGCTGCTTAAATGCGCAGTATTTAGTGGGCTGGACCCCCTGGCATGCCAATTCGGCTGCTGCCCGTTGCGTCACTCAGAATTCGCCTTTTGGGGGGTCCAACCTCTCTAATACAGGGGTATTTAAGGAGTTGCCGGCTGGAGCCCTTGTTGATGGGGTTTCAGAAGTTGCAGTGTTGACGCGTGTCCAGGCCACGCCCTACTTTATTTCAGATCAACCTTTGAAATAAAGAAATCGAACTAACAGCCTAAGAATGATAATATTTGTCTCCCGGATCAATCAAGCAGGGCTTTGTTCATGTTGGGTTCAACCCTTTAGCCCGACAGCCATTGATTCGACGGAAGAGTCCAAGGTTCGCATGCTGGCCACCGAGATAGCGGTCAGATGCTTCGAACGGCCTCCCAACGAACGGCCTTCCGAAGCCAACGGCTGGAAGTCTCTCACCAAGGCCGGGGGCTTCCCAAAGCAGATGAACAAGAGCAAGCAATAGGAACCTCAGTGCCTCCATGTTGCTGGGACAAGGAGCCAGGGGCTCTACCAGGGCAAAGTGCAAGGAGCAGTGCAGATCGACTGTGAGGCTTAGCCAGCTGGCTGATTGCTGGCGTTTGGCTCAGACATGTTAAGGGGCTTCCGAAGGTGGAGCATCCAGGAGCTTTCCGTCCAGTGCGCGGCACTCTTCGCACAACCCCTGTCAACCCCGTTTTCAGGAACCTATGACGGTGTTCCCCAAGAAAGCGAAGGACGTCCCCCTATTGATCAACCAATTGGGGGGGTCGGTCAATGAATCCAGGGTAACATTACTGCAAGTCGCTTCTTTCAACGGGATGCTTGGCCAGGCCATGAGCGTGGACCTGGAAAAGGCGGGTCTTTCCGCTGGGGAATTATCTCACTTGCCCAATGCCCAATTTGTATACGGTTTGGTTCAGACGACTTTGGTGGAAAACATTGTGCCAATCCAAAAGCGAGATGGTTCACAAACTATAGAGAGCTCACCCAACGAGGGTGGTCACTTGCTAGGTGATCCCGGCCTACAGTTCATTAGCAGGTCAACATTGTATGGCAAGAGGGGGTAGGGGTAGGGATTAGAGCTCTCATGTGCAGTGACGGATTCCCCAAATTTCCAGTTTACTTGGCCAGTGTAGAGGCACAACAGACGTCCCTGAAGCTGCTGGCAGTAAAGGATGAAAGATGAGAACAATGCATCATCACTAGCTTTCATCCCAACTGCCCACGAAAACAGACATTACTTGCCCCAGTGTCCCCTCACATGGCTGGCAATTGGGTGCAATTGGCGGCCACTTCAATCGCGATGTCCCTTAGCACGGTGCTTGCGGTTTCGGCTCAGGCTTATGTCGCGGCATTGGTACTCTTAGTGAATGAGAGAAGTGCCATTCCATTGCGCCCAAACATGTCACGTTTGTTAGGGCAAGATCAGGCTATCATCACGTCTTCCTAAAAACCCAGTACTGAATTTAGAATAGGCCAATTCTAAGCCAATACTTCTATAGCATTTTCTCATTTCACCCCATATTAGGGGACCCTTTGGAACCAACATGAAACCAACCAATAGCAACACTACACCAATACACTGCGATGTACTCAACCAAGCCATATCCGAAAAGTGACGCTGTCAGCTGTTTTTCTACTAGCCCGGGGGGTTCGGAGTTCGGAGTGGCCGTTCACTTTTGCGCCTGGGGTTGAAGAAGTTTCCATGTGGCTCAGGCGCGCAAGGGCGTGCACAAGAACTTCCAACAGTTCTCGCAAAACGCCGCGCGGCGCTCAATGCCTCGGGAGTGCGCGCGCGCGCAGCGCTCAATGCACTCCCTTCATGGCACGGACGATTTATGACCCGGGGACAGCTCCAGCATCCAACCCCATTTTGCGTGGCATGGCATGGATTGGCCACCCGGGCTGGAGTCTGTGGCTTTTCCGAGCAGGAAGTGGGTTGCCGATGTACCTGCGAGCTTACGAATGTGGAGTTCCCGGAATTGGTGTTGGTTGTCGGTCTTTTGGATGCGCAGGGTGGGTTAGCTGGCGCTTGAACACACAATCGGTTTGAAGCACAGACAAAGGGCCCCGGGCAACAAAGTTGGGCGTTTTACATAGTGGAGACAGGACATGCACGCACACATCGACATGTTCGGCCTTTCCGTTTCAACAAGGGTAGGCCTTCTTCGTGCTTCTTGAGGTTTCGAACTCCCTACTCCCTTTCGGGAGCAATTGCTTGCTGTGTGTCTGTGCTTGTGTTTGTGCTTGTGTTTGTGCTTGTTTGCTGGTTTGTTCTTGGGTTTATTAGTTGGATAGTGTTGTTTCATGCCTCGCTTGCTTGCTTTGCTTTGCTTTGCTTTGCTTTGCTTTGCTTTGCTTTGCTTTGCTTTGCTTTGCTTTGCTTTGCTTGCTTGCTTGCAACTGACTTGCTTGTGTGTTAGGGTGTGTTTGTGTGTTTGTTTGTGTTAGTGTTCCCGTGTTTGGTTATTTTCGTGTTTGTGTGGGGTTGTGTGTGTGTGCTTGCGTGTTTGCTTGTTTGTGCTTAGGCTTGCATTTGTGGGTTAAACCCGCATGTGTGGGGACTTTTCATAGGATCCTCAAATGAAGGGACGGTGTTTTGCCTTCCTTCTCCAACTCAACCAGGCTACTCATGGCTCACAGTCGTGGTTCCCGCAAAACAAACACACAAAAAAGAAGAACAAAAAAAAGGGGCAAGTACCGAGCCTCCGCCCAACAACTGTCACCCCCTTGATCTGCGCTGAGGAGAAGCAGATCGGGAAGGCTGAGCGTGCCTTTGAGAGGAGCGCCACTATGTTTCTGCAGGAGGCGCCTGCTGCGGGGTCACCTGGGATGCTTCGGTCCCACGGTCAAGCCAACAGGCTTGTCGGTTTCAAAGGGACAAGATGACGGGTAAAGTGGCGTCAAAGCAGTAGATGTCAGACCAGGACATTATGCAAAGATTACATATGTCCTGGACTCTTGCCTAAGGAATATCATATGCAAGAATACCTCGCAAGAGCAGGCTCGGCAGAGCCATACCCTTTACATGAAACAGGTGCAAGCCCATGCTTACGATGCGAATTGCGTGTTCCTCTTGGCCTGATACAGGCTTAAAAAAAGTGCCAAAGGAAGCTCCCTTTGTTTTTGCCATTTTGCAATCTTCTTCTTCAGTCGGAATAGTCGGAAGCGACCCCTTGTTACCTTCAAACCCGCTTCACCCACGCAGAGAAAAGGATTGATCTGGGCCATTTTCAAGAGCTCACCGGTTTGGGAGAAACCGACTTCAGGATTCACAACGCTTCCCGGTGGAGTACGGTAGCAGTTTGGTAGCAGTTTGCCCAGATTGGTTGTCCAGGATTCCAAAGCTCCAAGCACTTACCATGGTAGAGGGTCCATGGCAAGTGCTTAGGCGGCCTAGAGTTCTAATCTGGCAATTTGTCCTACTGGCATTTGATGGCAATCCAATCCTCGCAGATGGCACAAACTTGGTCAACATACATGTGACCAACCGTGCAGGCAGAGAATATCTTCGTTGGGCCCAGCCCCAGCGGCCCCAGTGGGCTTGGCGATCGCGACAGGGACGACCAAGGCCGGCATCAAAAAACAGGAGCGGCATCGGTCGTATTTGAGGCGCTCCTTACAGCACTTTCGCGCCTCGGTTTTGAATGCGCAAAGGCAAACGTTGGGCACGGCGCCTAGGTTTCGGCCAAGTCTGCTTTCGGACGCCCTTGGAACAAGCAATGACAGCTATATCGCATTAGAGGCCGCCGCGCCCTTGTTTTGACCTCATGTAACGTTTTAAGTAGACAAAATATGTAACAAACTCTATTCGTAACCTTCCTTCCATTTGGTTAAGAACATGTTTTATTTTCCCCTGTTGGTTTTAAAGGGAATCTATCGCTACTGGAAATATTATATTTTTTCCAGGGGACTTGAGCAAATAGAGGTACCATGGCACTTCAGAGCTCAATTTGCTGGTGCTCAGTTTGGGTGGGACATCTCATGCCCAGTTTCGGGACTTGTTTGGAGGGTTTGGCATTGATTTTTCCCCAAAACAAAAATCCAAAGGTTGTTTAGAAAGCACTGGTTTTTCAGCAAAACCCTTCAAGCACCCAATCTTAAACCATGGTCTTTCTGCAAAACCCTTCATGGCTCAAGCGAAACCCTCACGCATGGTTGAAGCAAACCAATTCCCAGTTTGAGCTGTTGAACTTTGGTCCCAATCTGCATTTCGTCTTGAGACGACCCGCTGTCAGGCTCGAGGCCGCAGCTCACCAAGGCGGGAGAGCATGGCTGCTTTTGGCAGCTCATTTGTTCGGCTCGGCGGCAGATCCAAAACGACCCACGAAGAACAGGGTTTCCCTTGTTCTTGTGCCACTGGGTTACTAGGAAACCCCTAACTTCCAGTTTGTGAAACTCAAAAGTGGTTGTAGCTCGTTGAAACAGCTAGCCCACCCGCAAATGCGCCTGCTGTGCCTGCTGCGCGCCGAGAAGAGTCTTACCCTTAGGTGCTCAAAAATATGGTTTGTGTAGAGTTGTGTTTTTTTGTATGTTTTTTTGGATCCGGGGGGGGACCCCTCTTTGGGTTCCATGTTAATTTGCAAGGGTATGTTTCCGCGGGGAAAGGGTGTCATGGTAGAAATATGTTGGTGTTAGGTTGATACCAAGGCAGCCCCTTCGAGAAATCAGCTACAGGAACGGGAAGGAATTACTTGCGGTGTCACAGAAACGGGGCATCCATGATTCCACAGGCCTGGTGACCATTCCTGGCAGCTTTCTTGATGCTACTTCGCACTGACCCCTCCCCCGTTCAAAGGCGTCCAACACAAGCATCTTGCAGGAGGAGGAGGAGCTTCAGTGGGCACTTCGAGCATCGCTGGACGAAGCGAGGAGGAGTGTTTGGCAAGAGTTGCACCTCTTTGACAAGCTGCCTAAAATTATGCATCAAAGTCTGGATAATTATTTTTCCCACCAGCAGATTCCACTAATCACGGCGTGCTTTTGACATGCATGGTGTCAACAATGCCTAGAAAGGCAGGATTGCATCCCAGTGTTGTCATGCCAAGTTTGCTTGCAAGCCCAGTTTGCTTCCAGCCAAACATCTTTATCTGTGGCCCCAATATTTTGCAAGCCAACTTCCTTTTGTTGCTGACACAAAACACGTTTATGTTCAAGTTATTTTCCATCGACCATATACCAACAGAAGGGCAGCTAGAAGAGCTGATCTACACTAAGTCACACCACGGGTAATGTTTATATGGAGTTATTTGATGTGCTGTGTAGGTTCCCCTAAGGGGTGCGGACTAGGTGTTGGTCAGGCCCTTGAGCAGTTTGTGGCAGGTGGTGTTTGGAACACTCGGTATCAAAATCGACATTATCTTCTTGGCCCTTGAAGGGTGACGGCCCACTGTCACACAATGGGGGGTGGATGGGTGGGCAGTTGGATGGACTGGGGGGCCCAAGCGCCAACAATAATGAAATAATATACGTCATGAAATTCAAGGGATTCGCTGCACACCGGCTGTGCTGTATGCAGGGCTACACAAAAATGCGACAGGCATGAGTGCTTCTCAATCCAGGGAAGTTGGGCGATGCGAGGGGGCCTGCTGTTGTTTGTTTTTGTATGTGGTGGATAGCTTTTGCATAGGAACCAGTGCGCAAAGTTTTTCTTATGGCCATGCAAAAGGGCCACTGGTCAGTTTGACGGTGATGTAGCAGCCCGGGTAGGAGCAAGCATCGGGAGACGGCCACTTCCTTGCCGAGCCAGCAACCCGGAACGCTGCGTGGCTAGTAACCTTGGCGCCAATGATTTGCAGATCGACGATAGGCCTAGAGGCAGGAGCAACGGTGCACCATGCGACCGTAAGCTATGCGGACCTGAAAGATATGTCGGTTGACTGCATTGACTGGCAAGTATTGACTGGCAATTGAGCAATGTTCCAGGGGCCCCAAATGGTTGGCTCCATGGGGATTCGCGCAACTTTGTGAATGCCATGCTCCCATCGTGTACCCGAGGCATCAGTAGTCGGGTAGTACGCACCGTGAAGCGTACGCGACTGTCGGAGGCCAGCCGAAGCGCGACAAGGAGAAGCCGCAGGCGAGCCGTTTGAGTTTCGTTTGAGTTTTTGCCCATGCTCCACGTTGCAGGCGTTCTCCAGGCGAGAAACTGTAGGAACTGTCTACCTGCCAAAGGTTCTGGAATCTCTGCCATTTTCCGCTGAGGGAGGTGGCCCCTGTTTTCCTTGGTTTGGAACTCACTGGTCTTCCTGCGCCCTCATGCGTTGTTTTTGGCCGGAAGGGAATACACTGCTCAACAGCAAGTGGCCTACCGGGCAATGTGGCCGTGAACACAAATGGTACCATTTCGGGGGTTTTGGGTGCACCACCCATTTGAGAACCTATTTTTTTGTGGGAGGTTCACTGGGGGGTACGGTTTATTTTGGGGTAGGTGAATTCACCACCCATTTTAGAACCTATTTTTGTGGTTGGATTGGTTGAGGTTCGCTGGGGGCTAACCGATTTGGCTTTCGACCCATCGCCATACCACGCGATGGGACGACGGGAAGCCGCAGGGCCCGCAGGACTCGCAGAGGCTCAGGGAGGCGAAGCGCCGCGCGCAGGCGGGCGAGTTTCTTGGTCAGGTGGGTTCATGTCCAACTTTGGTTCCCCGTGAGTGATTCAGAGCATCTGAGAGGGGTCTTCATACGCACATCTTCTAGGGAGGGGTATGAGGGGTCATGGAAAAGTGAATTTGGGAGCGTGAATGAGGGCCCGATCCATTGAGAGGGTTGCAAAAACGCGTTACCCAACGAATCAAAGGCGCTTGGCCCTTTTGAGGTCTTCGTTTAAAGTGCCCTTTCGATTCTTCGCTGCAAAAAGTCGACCACTTTGTAAAATGTATTTTTCTACTGAGCGGAGGGGGGTCTTTAATAGACACCGATTTGCTGCCAATTTGTCCCGGAGCCTTGTTGGGGTTTCAGCAGTCCATGCAGGGCCTTCCTTCTGCCAGCTTCCGAATCCAACAGGCTCTTGTGCAGAACAAGCTTCTAATTGCAGTCCAAAGCATGTTCAGTGACCTCAGATGATAGCCCAAATCGCTGAGCCAGCTTCCGTTTCGGCGGTGCGAGCCATGGGGAGCATGCTGTTTGTGCGTGCCACGCTTTTGACCGCCATTGACAACGGGCTGCTGTCGAATCCAAACAAATGCTGCTCTCTTTCTGACAGGGTCACTGGGAAACTGAGCACAACTGGGCTTGACCCTACCGGAAGATTCGCCAACCAGCAACGTTTTCCCCTGGGCCTGCCGCTGCCAAGAGAAGCCATTTCACCATTCTGAATCGCTGCATGAGACCCCACACCTTTAACACCAGTAAAACATCAAGACGATCTCGTAAGAAGTGTGGTTTTGCGACGTGCATATCCGTCAAGGAACCCCGCTTAAACTTGGGCTTTGGGTGAAGGGGGGTTCGACCCTTGGAATTCGATTGATGGCAGCCTACGTTTCCCCTTCAGTAAATACTCGACTGCAGGACCTAAACCTCACCCCAACTCCGGGTTATGCAGTTATGCATGTGTGGCTGGTTTCAGAATGACGGAGCCAAAAAGGGTATCCACCCATGGAAGCCAGGGTACTAGAAGAGTTGCTTGGTTTCCCCGGGACATTTGGAGAGTCCTCTGGCGTATTGCAACCCACTTGCAAATTGAGTATACAGTATATAGGCTTTTGTATTTTGCCCGAACCTTCCTGGAGGCGCTGGAAGCACAGTTGGAGGCCAAGCTGTCAGAGGACGAGGAACAGGCAAAGCTTCACGCCAAGGTGGAGGCGGGAGGCCCTGGCTTGTTGGAGCGTTGAATCGCCCACTCATAAACGGGGCATTGGCTTTCAAAAGCATGTTAGCCGAGTACTTGCCTGAGCCGGGAGCAGCGTGTCTTTATCAGACAACCATCCGGCGTTTGTGTGTGTGTGTGTGGGTGTGTGGGTGTGTGTGTGGGTGTGTGTGTGTGTGTGGTTGTGTGTGGGTGTGTGGGTGTGTGTGTGTGTGGGTGGGTGGGTGGGTGGGTGGGTGGGTGTGTGTGTGTGTGTGGGTGGGTGGGTGGGTGGGTGGGTGGGTGGGTGGGTGGGTGGGTGGGTGGGTGTGTGTGTGTGTGTTCGCGCGTGTGTGTTGTTTTTAGACGTGGTGTCTCCCGCCCTTTTTCAGTGGCACTCCTTTGGGAATCAGCCGGAATTTTGACCCGATCGATGGCCAGCTTCATTGCTCAGGAATCTTTGCTCGAATCCACTGGGACTCAATCAGCCGGGGTATTTCCCATGTCCACTGTCCAAGAACAAAACCGCAAAACCGCAGCTCTTGAGCGAAGTGCTGGGAAATGCACAAATACATGTGTAGGACGAGGAATATTTGGAGGTTTCCTCAATAGAAAGTGGCCCATGCGTAGGTCAACTTGGCAAGTGGTGCTCCCAGGCTGCGGTTCAGCTGGCGGAGCGCTTCGCCTTGCAGATCTCAGAGGCTGCTTCTAAACACGCCCTTAAGGAAAGAAGTCCCCAAATTGGTGTGTGTGTGTGTCAGAATTGCTTTATTCGCCACTGGCTTGGTCTGCGTGGACTGGGTACAAGTCAGGGATGCATTTCACCTCTGCTTGGTGTGCAGGGCAGGATGTAGAATTTGTTCTTCCCAGCCTTGACTGTAAGGCTGCTTGGTTCGATCTTTGGAGATTCACGTTTTGCAGAGGGGTCTCGCAGTAACCAAAAAGGTTCAAGGCGGCCACCGGGGTCCCAACTTGAAAGGCCAGGGGGGCATCGGAAGAATCCGACTTTTTCCAGAAAAGAAACAGATTGGACCTTACACCCTTGACTTTGGTTCCAGTTCAAGTCTCAACGCCTTTTTGTTGAAGAGCGAAAGGTCCCGGACCTCAAGCACATGTTGAAGTCCACGAAACTAGACCCCAGAAATTGAATAGATTCCTCAAAGGTGTCCCTTGGCAACGACCAAAGGCTAGCACTTCCACAAGACGTATCCAAAGACTCATCCAGTGCAACATTTTGCAGAGAAAAAAAGAAACATCCACCCATCTGAACGCGTGTGCAAGTCTGCCAGGCGGAAGTTGAGCTGGGCGTTTGGCAGCAGCGCAGGAAGCACTTGGAGGACGGAAAAACTGTTTTCCAGGGTAACGAGGCACTTCCCCAGATTCCTTCTCAGGACTTTTCAGAGAACAACGAAGACCGAGGGGAACAAAGAACAGATGGCTAAAGTTAGCGGCTAAAGATAATCAAGATAATTTGGAATCAGCCTTGACCCTGTGGTCGTTTTGGGAAATTCACCTGTCCACTTCCATGAATGTCGGCAAAAGGGCATGTCATACCATTTTGCTGGACCTTCTTCCTTTTGCAAGGCTGAAAGAAAAGTTAAAGGAATAATGTCGGGGCCCCTTTGCGTTTGTTGGATCTATGGCTGGCGAGCGTAAGCTTCTTAAGAAGGAAACCTTCAGCATATTAAGCACAGTTGTTCAGGCCCTGAAACATGTGAAGCGTTTTGTGCTCGAGTCCTGTCCCATGCAGCGCACTTTTTTTTTGTCCTGGTGTGGCCACATCGATATGGTTGGTATTTGTGGGTCCGCGCTTATTGTGGAATGGTGTCACTTAGGGGATCCTTGTAAAGACTATTGGCGCAGATGTGCGGCAGTGTGGGGCAGTGGAAACGTTTGGGCTTCAGCCGCATTGGCGTCTCATAAGAGAAACTTGAGTGTTAAGTCCAACCCCATGCGAATCGGGCTGCTTGTGTGGTTTTTCCTGGCAGGCTTGCATCAGCGCTTCTCAAAGCAAGGGGTGCTAACCTGCTTGTGCAAGACCACATATAGTCCCGACTTGCGCACAGCACCGCTTTATGGTAGTGAGGTTTGAGCACTTTCATCAGCATTGCTGGCCCTCAACAGCAGGTGCTCAGCCGAGCCTAGATCAGGCAGCGAATTCCTTCTATCAACTTGTCAAAGCCTGCAGAGAGGCGCAGAGTTGCTGCTCATGGCGGGTTTGCGAACACAGACGCGCACACAAAGCGTAAACCGCGTGCTTGCCACTTGCATATTGCTTTGATTCCTGTTTGACGCTTACCTGGTTGGATTTGGCCTGGGGCTTGGGCTTGGCATCCTCCAAGCCATGCGCTTTGGGACCTTGAGCTCAAATCCCACAAGTACACTTCCTGCAATGGTGGCAGCTGACGGGGGGGCGGGGAGGCTGGGACTGGGAGGTTTCTTTTGGGAAGGGCCCCCAAAAAGGCCCCACTGGAAGGAGGGCCCCGGATCAGTAAGTCCTATCCGTCGCTGCCATTTGCAACCTGAGCCCCTGGCGCAAGGAACTTGTGATCTTCAGATTGGCATTTGCGTATCACTCGTGGTATGGTGTGTGCGCAAGTTGCTTGGTCCCAACAGGATGTTGCGGCTTCTATCTTGCAAGGTTGTATCCACCGGGCTCGCAGCGTGCTAGCGCAGGAGGAGCTGGCAAGTTCGAAGTCTACAAAGGAGGGGATGGTTTCACATCGTCGAGAGGGTTTCCTGTGCCTCCAGCGCACTGTGCATGAAAGCCCGGGGGCTTGCCCCACAAACTCATCATGACAATGGACAAGGCTTCACTCAATTTGTGTTAAGCGCTACGGATAGGTGGTGAGTCTGTAAGTGTGTTGCAATGTTTGAGCTCATGTTTCGTCCGTGAAGCTCGCCACGTCAGCTGCCGACGCCTCACAGCAACAGAAGTTGAAACACAGGATGACAACTCTCGAAAAACTAGATTCCACCGGCCTGGACGAACGACAATATCACGTCAGAACCTGCCGATCAAATCCACGGCACCAACACACCAGCAGAGTCGACCGATACGAGGCAATGCAACTCACCTGCAAGCTCAGGAGGCCGGGGCAATCCTTTAGTCAAACCAGAGGTTTCACACTACAAAAACAGCAGCAACACTGAACTGTGACAGATTCGTTATCTCACTTTTGCGCCCAGCATGCTGAGCTGCTGGTCCCGAACAGGTTCTCAGGAAGTTTCAAAAATGAACCTTTCCCAGGAGGTGTGGCCTTCAGTGTCCTTCCTCTGAGCGTATGGTGAATATGAGGTTACTCACGAACTATCCATGTCACAGGGGCGAAATGAGGCCTGACCATGCTCATTTACCTACAGACGTGCAATAGGCCGGCAAAATTTGACCCATGTGACCCGTGCCAGGAGCTAAGAGAGCGGCTGGCAGGGCTTGAGGCCCCGAGCCAACTGCATGGATTCAGTTGGGTTTGTCATGGTTTGTCTTGAGACTGGAAATCCACAAGGCACATCCGCATTTTAACAGTTTCCCTTTCTGTCTTATGTCTTGGACACGCTGGGCTCACAAAGTTCTCGCAAAAACAAGGGGGCCCTCTAAATTTATCAAGCCTGACAAGCTGCATCATGTTTCTTGACACCCAGTTTTGTTGGCAATGGGCGCTGAAATGTCACAGCGCCATCCTCGAAAGTCCGATAGCTCGATACAGTCCTCACTGCCCAGGGGGCCCAATGCGAAACAACCTTTTGGCCCTAATGTGTCCCTGGTCTGCGCCAATTTTTACCGGTGTCAAAAAGCAACACCCCCTCAGAGGCGCACAAATACCCAGCCATTGCGACTGCGAGGCCAAAGTCGCACTAAAGCAGTCCCAGGACTTCTTTCGGTGGATGTGGCTTGCTTGTTTTTGCAGCTTCTTACCGTGTCTGTGCGGAATGCGAACACGGTGTGACGATGTCGCAGGTCTTCCTGGACAAATTGGCAACACGCGAGTGTCAATCTCCGCCAGTTTGCCTCTCTCATTTGTAGACACGACACAGGGTTGCTCCGAGTGCAAAATCAAAGCGAACGCGATGCAGCATCGGCCACATCGCAAGCATGTATGCCCAAGAGCGGGACATGTGGAGCTTTTATTGCTGGTCAGTTAAGACCCTCTTGCGCTGGGTTGGCCCCACGGAGGACGCATTGCTCGGATCATAGCGAGGCAGAAATGTATGTTACAAGAAATTGAAAAGAAGGGTTTGTGCACTATGCACACGTGATGAGTCTGGGGTGAATATGGCAAAATCTTTGGTTTGATGTGTCCGGTGGTGGTTGGTTTTGCTTCATGCGGCTGGCAGGAGACACGAGATGGGCTTGCAGAGGTCAAGGCCAAGTGATGGGCAGGTTGGGAGCTGCAGTTCGGACCCTTCAATGTACACTGCCCCCGTTCACACGCGGTGGGTGTCGGTGGCTTGGAATGCCCGTGAGGCAGGCCAACCTACATGGGCCATCAGCTGAGCATTCAATTTAACAGAAGCTGCCGAGCAACCTGCCCAGAATGAAAGTTCAAGAAACGATCAGGCAAGTGTCCGACATCAATGCACGCAAGCCCAAAGTCTACAGGGGACAGTTCTGACACGCTTTATTATGACAACTTTGACATGTCATTTACTTGGGTCGCTGGCGGCTTACATTGGGGAGGGCACATCATTCCGAGGGGTCCGTCCAACATGACATTGCATGACTGCAGTGCTCCCCAAATTGCGACAATGATCCGACGGGCAAGCTGCTGAAAATGAGGCATACTGCCACATCTGTACAATTTTGTGTGAATGCAGCAACGTTGCCACACATACTGTGGTCAATAGACCTTGTAACTTGGGGATACTAAGGATGGTTCGCACAGCAAGAGGGGTAGGGCTCCCGGAAACGACCTACCAAGGAGTTTTGACCCGTGCTTATGACAATTGGTTCTGACAGTACGTTGCCATGATGACTTCAGGTGCCCTTTGCATTGCTTGCCAGGTTGGCAAGGCAGGGCCGGAACCGCATGAAGAGGGACAGCAAGGGCCTCTCAAAGATGGAGCCCATGCTGATTCCGACGCCTGCGGCACGTGCCCCGCAACCCAGCCCCCGAGTCCTGTGCCGCATGATGTGCCGGGCTCCTCGTCTTCCGAAGCAGCCAGAAGTGGTGCTGGTGAGGCCAGGGCTTGCAGTTTGCAGCCATGAACAGTTGAACCTAAGCAGCTCGCAGTCGGTCGGGAAATGCGACCATTAGCCACCCTTTTGCATCCTTCCAGACCAAGACAAGCTGCGGAGGGTATTTTGAAGGCACGTCCTGCCACCAAAACCCAGTACATGACAGTCAATCACGGGGTTTCTCTTGTTCGAAGTCTTTGCTTCTGCAGTTTCTCCCTGTGAGGTGGCTTTGCCAGATCCGTTGATGCAGCCCAAAGATGGTGAGCTCAAGGCGTCCCGAGTTGCCTATCTGGGTCCTGGCGTGTTTTTGGTGTGTGTGTGTGTGTTTTTGTTTTTGTGAATGATGAAAGGGTTGAACATTGGTCCAAGCTCATAGCAGGATGGCTCTCCCAGAAATGGTACGGAATTTACGCTTTTGGTCGGTGGGACAACCCCTTGGCTCACATGGCATGGCTACCACCTAGTGGGCTAAATAGGCTGAACCTCGTTCCTTTGGATTCTCGGACGGCGAACGTTTCGTTGGGGAAGGGCGCTTCTAAAGCCTTTGCTATACCGCCATACCGGCTTGGACCGGCGGGAAGGAAGCCTTGAGTAGCAACTGTGTTTGTTATTTCCCACAAACACGGATGAAAGGGGGATCGATTTGATTGATTTTCTCCACACCTAATTTTGGATTCAGCTTTCAGAACGAATTACACTTCTCTTGCTTGATGAAGCTTCACATGCACAGGTGGCATTGCTGTGCAGAAAGCACTTCCAAATGTTTCGTTGTCGACAAGTTGATGCAATTCCAGGCGGAACTTGACACAAAAATGGCCGAGCAGAAGGAGCGGGAAGTGATAGAAGTGCAAAAGGGTCCAGCAGCGCAACAGGCGAACCCAACGTATGCAGTCCCGGAAGTGGACGGCAAACAAGGGCCGACAGGGCAGGAACCGCCTGAATTGCAGCCAGCAGAAGAGGAGGCAGAGCAGCAGCTAGAACCATCATCCTCTGACGGAACCCATGCCGCGGATTCCGAAGCCTTGGGCGGCATCTTCCCCATAGTCGACACCACCCAGCCCCCGGGCTCCGGTTCTGCGCGCGATGCGTCGCCCTCCTCTTGCTCATCTTCCGAAGCAGCAGGAAATGCCAGGACGACTAGTGAGGCCAGGACGGGAAACGTAAGCTGGGATTGTGGAAGATTGTGGGTGCTGAGCAGCATCTCAAAGCGTCTACACAATGTATTGTGTTGCCGGAAGGTGTGTAAGTACGATTTATACAACTTTTATTGGTTTTCATGTTCTGCCCGGGTACTTCCCGGACCTACCGGGGATACATGTTTGGCTTTAGTGCCTTTCACGCAATGTCATGCACACATGCCAGCTGTGCAAACATGTTAATTAAAGCCGACAACGCTGGTGCAAGCATCCTGGCGGGGCAGTGGACACAAACATGGAGATACAAGGCCAACAAAGCTTTGACTGGGCGTGGCTTTTTCTCTAGAATGCCAATGGGTCAGACAGTGTTGATATTGTGATGCTGGCCTTACAAAGCTTCTCACTCGAAAGGTTGCCCCAATTCCTGAAATATGGACCCTCACTGACTTGCACGACTTGGTTCAAGGGGCTTGCGCAGCAGTGGCTGAGGATGTAGAAGGCACGGTGGAGAAGGACACATCGGCAAGGCCAGAACCGCCTGCAGCGCAGCCATCAGCGGAAGAGGCAGAGCAGCAGCCCGCACCATCATCCTCTGACGGAACCCATGCTGCTGATTCCCAAGCCGTGGGCGGCATTTACCCCATAGTCGACACCACCCAGCCCCCAGGCTCCGGTTCTGCGCGCGATGCGTCGCCCTCCTCTTCCTCATCTTCCGAATCAGCAGGAAATGCCAGGACGACTGGTGAGGCCAGGACGGGAAACGTACGCTGGGATTTTGGAAGAGTGCGGGTCCTGAGCAGCATCTCAAATCGTCGTTGCAATGCATTGTGTTGCCGGAAGGTGTGTAAGCACAGTTTATACACTTTAAAGTTTGGTTTTCATGTTCTGCTCGGGGGTGTTGCCGGATACATGTATGGCTTCAGTGCCTTTCAAGCAATGCCATGCACACATGCCAGCCGTGCAAGCATGTGTTGTTTAAAGACAAACATGGAGATACAAGGCCAACAAAGCTTTGACTGGGCGTGGCTTTTTCTCTAGAATGCCAATGGGTCAGCCAATTCCTGAAATATGGACCCTCACTGACTTGCACGACTTGGTTCAAGGGGCTTGCGCAGCAGTGGCTGAGGATGTAGAAGGCACAGTGGAGAAGGACACATCGGCAAGGCCAGGACCGCCTGAAGTGCAGCCATCAGCGGAAGAGGCAGAGCAGCAGCCCGCACCATCATCCTCTGACGGAACCCATGCTGCGGATTCCGAAGCCGTGGGCGGCATGTGCCCCATAGTCAACACCACGCAGTCCCCGGGGTCCGCTCTAGCGCGCGATGCGTCGCCCTCCTCGTGCCCAGCTTCCGAAGCAGCAGGAAGTGCCAGGACGACTGGTGAGGCCGGGGCGTGCAAGTCACGTGAACACAAAGTTGTGGGGCCCGGGATGCTGTTGGATCCGCTCATTCGCAGTTGCTCGACAGGTTTGAGCGCTGCCTGTGAGAGAGGCGATGCAGCTCAAGGCTCCCGCCAAAGGCGCGGAGCTTCGTGAGCTCTGTCGCTATCTTCCACTGGACGCATCAGCAGATTCATCTTTTTGCAGTCAGCGCAACCTGATTCGTTCACGACAAGAGTCTCGGGCCAGCGCGCGCTGAGAGTGAGAGCTGCCGGATTGTGCTGAGGACATTGCTCAAGGATCCTGAGGCACCCTGTGTCCATCGCTCCTTTTTGTTTCTATATGGTTTCCACCCAGGGACTTATGGGATATTATGCAGCATATCCGGCCACCATATTCGCACTACAGAAAGGATACATCAATGTTTTCTCCTGGGAGCAGTTTTAATCTTAGAAGCTGCACCCAGCTTCTGCCAATTCCAGAGCCCACCCTGCTTTTCGCGCCCGCTGGTTTCCATCCGACGGCCCGGCCAGGAGGAAAATCAGTGACAGCTAGCACAGGTCAGGTGCATACCAGGCTGATTTGGGTACTCAAATAATTGTCCAGATATTCAAAAAGTACCACTCTACGCATCATTGAAAGAGGAGAGTGGAAGTGTCAGACACACAGGTTTGTTGATTCGCCTAGGCATGGCTTCCAAAAGCAGAATGCGCGCACTGGCATTTGAGAGCCAGCAAGGGCCAGCTGGCAAAAAAAAGACTTGCTTAAATGTTGCGAACAAGGTCACTCGACGAGCCATCTGATTGCCGGAAGATCCAGGTGCCGGTTCTTGAGCGAGGCTAGACATTTATCGAAGAAGCGGCAATAGAGCACAAGTGCGCCGCTGGCAGGCTCAAGGTGTGGGCTCTCCGTTTGGATGGACAGTTTCCAGCTGCTATGTTCTTGTGGGGAGTGACATTTAGCGCGTGCCGTTGCAGGCCAATGCCACCTCGCCAGGTAGCACATCAGTATGCCACATCTTGGAAGTCAGACCAGGTGCTGCAGCCTTGCCAGAGGCCAAACAGAATCAGTTCCTTCCCGTTTTGCAGCTCGCTTAGGCACCGGGCATGTCCAGATTTAGACTCCAGGCTCGAGAACCACGCCAATTCCCAAATCATATCACCCTAACATATGGGTCCTTATGAATTTGCATTAGATATTTGTTTGGGTCGTTTTTTGTGGGGTACTGCAAGTCGGCCCTTAACTCAGTGCCTGCCGTGACCCAAACGAACACCTCCCCGTTTGCGCTTCGCGCGCGCCATGTGGGCGGTGCCAGAGGAGGCACCCTGGCACAGCACCAGGCGCCGGGGAGGGGAGGAGGGGGGTGGGTGGGGTGGTTTCGATGGGGCGTGAACCTGTTCTTCTGGGGGAAATGGGAAACCAAGCCCTTCAAAGCACAAATCCAAACAGCAACTGGAGGGAAGCAACATTGTCAGGCTTCGCGGACATTGCTCTTGGTGGGGCCTTTGAACCACCATTCAGACCATATTGCTTTTGCCGGTGCATTGATTCACTTCAATTCGGAGATTTGAATTGAAGCTACATGGGGACCGCCCCACCAAGGTCCAAAACACCAAGCAAAACCACCAAGTAGGGGCCAAATGACTTTGGAGGGTAATTAATAGTTTCAGGTTTTCTTCTGAGAAATGGGCCCGGGTCTTCTGTGGGTTCTGCCAGGCGGGCCATTGACAGCTCCGTGCCCAAGAGCGCGTCTCTGGACGCCTTGGCGGCCGCCAGCGCCAAGGCCTTCCCGCTGGCGCCGCTGGCGCCGCTGACGCCAGGGCCCGGCGCCGGTCCCGCCCTTCAGGCGGCCACAGACGCTCGCCCTGGTACGGCTTGGGTGGGTTGGTGCATGGTGTGAGGTGGGGACGGGGTGTGGTTTTGGTTTTTGTTTGTGTTCCGAAAGGAGGGATTCTCCTGTATATTGGTGCTCAGTTTGACCAAGTAGGGTTGGGTCATGCTTGGTTTTATGTTATTTGCTACCTGCGTGCAGTTTGCCCCTCACGGCAACACGTTAAGCAGGGGGCGTGGGGTGGCAAAAGCGCAACCTCGTAACAGTCATGCAATATTTCCTCCATCACCAGTAGATTTAGCTTCCCGTTTGCGACAAAAACTTGATATTTGGCTGTGGGGGAACGCGCCACCCCATGCCTGCTCCTGGCAGGATGTATTTTCATACTGCATGGAACTGTGCCGCCAACTTGATGCCAGCAACATGCTGTGCAGCTGTCAGATGCATCAGCCCATGGTCTTATTGTCAATTGCCTCTCAAGAAGCAGATGCAGAAGAACATGGTTCTCGTTTCCAACCCTCCGGCCAACTTCTTCAGATTGGCTCCTTCAACAGCTACCAGGCATGAGGAATTGCCATCCCATGTCCTTAACCCGAACCCCGTGCAGGTGAACCACATCCTTTGCAAAACCCAGGGGCGTCCGGGATTCCTTCCCTGCGTGCCATAATTTAGGGAATCAATTGTGCAGGGGATGCTGAAAAAACATCACCTTTGGGGACATGTTGATTAAGTGTTCCTTGACGCCTAATGCGGGGTCACAAGGAACCATGCTACTTCCCAACCCCGCAAAGTCCCCAACTCACCCGATACCCCATTTCCCTTGACAGTTTGTGAGCAAAAGTGGTGGGCTTAGACTCTTCGAAAATTGGGCAGGCCCAGCCACTTTTCGGAGTTGGCGGATCCGACTGCGGATCCGAATTCGGCAATCCGAGGTCACCTTCAAGGCGCCGGCCGCGCGGCCGCCGCCGCCGTGGCAGAAGCCAGCGGCGCTGCCGGCGCCTCCCAAGGCGCCCTGGCGGCTGCCCTTGGCGCCTCGGACTCTGAGCCATCCGCGTCTCATAGCGAGGCCTTTGGGGCTGAGGCTTCCATGGCTTCGTCCCTGCGATCAGGGAATGAGACATCGAATGAGCCAGAAGGGGATTCCCGAAAACAGGGAACGGTTTATAGGGGTGGCTGACGTGAAAGAACCGGTTTGGGTTTGGGTTGTTCAAGATCAATCTCCGCAAGATCCTGGCAGAAGTGGTTTCCCTGGACCGGTTACGGATTCGGATATCACCATCTTGAACAACCCAGCTGGCTCGGGTGGTTCCACAACCATGGTGATGTCGAAAGGAAACTATGTTACAGGGACCCCTTACAGAGTAGGCCCAATGAAAGAGGAATGGTTAGCCAAACAAGCGATCATAAGCACAAGCGGCCAGAACGAGAAATGAGTGTGGTTGGAAGACATGTGGTCATGCGGCTCCGGCTTTGAGGCTTGAGGTCATGCTGGCTTGAAGCACTTGGAGAAGCGTGCTGTTTCCATTGGGTCCGAACCTGGATCGTTGCTGCTCTCTACTGACTAGATGCCAGACGATTCGACGGTGGGCCCTGGAATGCGTACGTCGCAGATTCTGCCCTGCCAAACAAAGGTTTTCAAGGTTGCACCAGGGTCCTTGTTGTCGACAGCTTCAATTGCCGCACACCCGTTGGTTTCTCAATTGAAGCCAGGAGCAATGAGCCTGGACCAGCATGCCAAGACAACATCAAGTTGGGACCCACGAGTACCTCAGGTTCCTAGATTTAACTCTCTATCTTCATTAGGCAGATCTTAATGCATATGTATACACGCATCGTACAATACACATATATATATATATACACAAACGTCTTGCATGTGCATGTGCAAGTGTGCGCAGAGTTTCTTCAGACTTTGAGCGTTTCGCCCAGGACCGGCCCAGCCCAGTGGGTTCCGGTGTACGACCCAGCACCATCCCCGAGTACCGGAGTCGGCTGGTGTCCATTTACGCGGTGCACAACCCCACCAACGTGGCGAAAGTGGACTACTTGCTGGACAAGTACAAGGAGCACCCGCGACGTGTCCCATGTTTGAGTGGCTTTTCAAAAGGGATAGACAGCCACCCCAAAGTGCAGGGGCACTGCTGTAGCAAGGCATAGCAAGGCCAGCAATTCTCAATGCTTTGCGCACGTGCATGTGAACTCATGATTTGCCACTATTGGACAGAGAAAGCCCAAGCTTGCTTGCAAAACACGCAACCTGTTGCCCAAAACTAGCTCGGTGAGTTTGTGGGAGGCCAGGTTAAGATGCTAGCAGTTGCAGTTCAGAATTGTTCATTTGTGCAGATCGTGGGGTAAGCAGTGTGCCCATTGCCACGCTTGGCGCATCTTTGTGCCACACATTTTCCGTTGAGATGCCAGCGTACTGTTGGCCGGGCTCGCTTTCTCAGGATTTGCCTAATTTGCCTACCCCTCGAAAAACCCCCTGGCCCTGGATTTCTTGGGTTTCCAAACTTGGGGTCTTTGAAACCCGCATGCGCAGGACCAGGAGCACTTGTTGTACAGTAGCGTCTGCGCCAAGTACCAGATCCCTGAGACCTGGGATGGGCGTGCGCCCCTGGCGATGCCGGCCCCGGCGGTTCTTCCAGTGGAAGTCGCCTTTCCGGCGCCCTGGATGGGAAAATGGGACGTTTTTTTCGGGGATGCGTCACAAGGAACTTATGAACTTCCGGGTTTCGTGGCATTTGGGCATATCCCAAGTTGAAGCTGGCTGGGGCCGTTGGCCTGCAAACTGTCAGCTTGGCACATCGGGATTGCTCCGCGCGATTTTTTCAGAGGATCGAAACCATAAGGGTAGACAATGTGTTTTGGAGGATCCTTTGGCCTTCACCTTTGCCCGGGGCCAAAATCCCAGTGCCGATCGGGTCTGGGAGCTGTACCCTCTTTCGCGACTCTCTCCATTTAGGTGGCCACACCGCAGAACGCAACCGCGCAGGTGTGGCAGACGCGGTTCGTGCGATGATTTTCGGTTGCCGGGAAACGGCTGGCCACCGCTTGCTTTTACAACTGTGAGTTGCGTATGAGAAGTTGGAATGGCCTTGCAAAAACTGTTGGGGAAGTGATCGGGGAGTATTTTCCTTTGTTTCGTGGTCTGGCTCAGCTTCCCAACGGTGCCCTGGCAACGCTCGCCATTTACCTATTTTAGGTAGCTATGCCATGAGGTGTGACCCGACAAGCTACCGCCTGCAAAGAATAAGTATGCTGACTTATGTTTGATGGAACATTTGTCAAGCATGTTGAAGCGCGTTCCCAGTGCCTCAAAGCTGGGTTTTTCAAAATGGAGGGACGGAGGCCAACTCTTCACCTGGAATCATGTTGAGCTCAATGACTTGAAAGAAGCACCATGAAAACCAGGGCTCAACCCCAGTTGTCCTGCAACTTTTTCAGCGAAATCAAGAAGTTCTTCGCAGCAAACCAAAAGCAGCGGAATATGACTACAGTGGCCACTCGGTCGTTTCTGACTGTGAGTTTCCCCTTTTGGAGGTCTTTGGGCACAAGGGAAACCCCGAGGCATTCCAATTGCTTGGCCAACGTTTTGAACTTGACGGGTGCGAGGCGGTGGATGCCGAAAGCAGTGAGGGCCGAGGCTTGTGGGACCTGGGGAGCGGGGGTCGTTTTGGTTACAGCGCCCTGCCATAGAATCGGTTTGGGCCCCATGGTGTACGAGACCTAGCTCTACCTTCACGATTGCTTCCAAACAAGCACGGATGAGGAGAATGGAAAAGAAGTCTACCCAGCTTCGTACATCATGCGTCTTAGGCAAAGAAAGAAAAATAACCACCCCGCCGCATGCCCCGACCGAGATCGGGATCCCAGGCGCTTCGGAGCCCTTCCCTTGGGCGCGGGAGGCTGGAGAAAGACCGAGCGTCAAACCCCGTGCGCCCCAGCCGGTGTAACATCACATGTTGGGACCAACTATTGGTTGAGTTGCTTCAGTTTATTATGAGTTCAAGAGGACTTAACATAGCAAACGCTGCTGTTCTTGACGTTGTGCTTGTTGATGCTTGTTGGTGTTTGTTGATCGTGTTGGTGTGTGGCTCAGTAGGTAGTTAAGCATGCTGCACCGCAGAAATTTTTGTGCATTATTATGTGTCTTGTTGTTTCAGCTTGCATTTACAGCATGGCTGTCAATGACTGGGATTCCACAGAGGTTTGCCGTCGCATGAGGCTAAGTTCAAAGATTGGCCTAGGCAGCTTGTTTTGAACGTCCTCGTTCCGTTTCACTGCTGAAAAGTTTTGCCACTTGCAGCTTGGAAATCGATGTCTCGAGGCATCTTCACTGCGGGGTTCTTGTCAGACGGGCACCAGCTGTCGCAGTTCCAACCCTGATTTTCAGAAAAGTAGATCAATTGTTGAAATCTGTCGCGATCTTCAACATGCCATCAGGCACGCTAGGACCATATTGGATGTCCCAAATTGCGTATTGTTGTTTGTTTTTTGTAAGCTTCCGGCCTTCAAGCGGAGGCAAGGAGGAAGGAGCTGAAAGAAGAAGCCCCCAAAGAGGCGCAGGAGGCGCCAGAAGAGGAGGCACCAAACGGGGAGGTGCCCAAAGAGGAGGTGCCAAAAGAGGCGCCAAAAGCGGAGGCGAAGGAGGCTGCCCGCAAAGAGGACCGCGCTTTCCTTGTGCTTGGCTGGCTAGATCTTTCCACAACCAGAGGTCAACGGTATTGCCAGTTTTGGGTGAGATTCAACGAAGCTGAGGTGAGGCGAGGCACTTTTGGGAGGCAATGGCACCTCGCGAGATGCACTAAGCAAAATGCCCTTAGATGGACTAGAAGAGACTGCTCATCACCCTCTACTACGTTTTTCTCCTTAAGCTAACAGCCGCCCTGCAACTGTTAAGGGCAACTATTTTCTGAAAAACTTGATTTGGGGTGCGCTGGGCCTGTTTGAGCAAGCTGCTCCTCGTCTCCGGTCCTTGCCCTGTTTGGCCAATGGGGCTGCAACAAACGCCTATTTTTATTATTTTTGGGGGGGGGCAGGCTTTCTGAGCTTGGCTAAGCTTAGTATTTAGAACAAACTGTAGGGCAATGTGCTGTTTCTGGCTAGCTGACGTTGGCAGAAGCATTCGCAATCGCCCTTCAGGGTTTGACTTGTTTTCTTGATACTATTAGATTAGGATTTGGTTGGCAGAAGAAAGGAGTCTTGAATCAGGAGGTTGGGAGTGCCTACACCGGACTAGGGCGATTTTGCCAAACCTGATCAGGGCATGAAAGCTAAAGTGGCATTCATTCGGCCAGGAAGGGGAGCGGTGTGTGTTGATGGGCACCCGGGATATGTTAAAAATTCACCTGCCTGGCTTATGAATCGGGGGTGTAAAATTTAAGAGCAACACCCCCCCCCCCCCTGCAATCCGCCAGACTGACCAATCCGGATAAACGTTATATAGGTCGAGGGCTAGCCCCAGGCCCCAGATCCCTGCCGAAAAAAGTACTACCCGCAAGCAAAATTGCGGTATACCACCACTATTTCGTCACTACGTCAAGGACATAATTTGTAGATCCCCAGGTGTAGGCGTTGGGGTTGATAAAGCCTTAGGCACCTGACCAGGTCGTTGTCGTGAACGATTGATGGCATTGAAGGATCATTTTCGGGTACCGTGACCTCACACTTGATGACGGCTTTAGTTCTTCCTCCTGCGCTTGCACGCAGGAGGCTGTAGCCAAGGAGGGCAAGGGTGCTGAGGCGAAGCGGGGTATCGGAGGCAATGCTGAATCATTTTGGCGTCACTCCAGTCCACACAACCGAGGGGTTGAACATGGTCATGCCACCAATGGAACAAAGCAGTGGTCCAGGGAGGCAATGAGATATATCCAGGCTGAATGTGTTTGGAAGCCTCACGGTTCAACTGGGCACTGCTTGCGGTATGCCACACGCCCATGGGTGTCCTTTCAGGCCAAGGTTGGCCGATGGCACTGGCTTCAATTTTGGCTCTGATCATCGACTCACACTCATCAAGAGGTCGTTGAGGGTGCAGGGTGCCCTGGGGACTTTCCTGTCATGCGGAGATTGCGACTTTCCTGACTGGAAGCCACAATCCAGGCTATTCAGCCTATTGCCAGTAGGTCGCTTTTGGACAATTTGCGGGCTGGGACCTATTGGGGTCAACGTGTTACTAGGACCGCGCTCATTGTCCCGGGTGCGTCGTGCAACTGTAACCCAGGATGAGGTTCAAACAATAGCCAAGATAACAACGCTCCATTTTCTCCTTCATCCAAGGGTCAAACTACTGAATAACGGCGTCTTCGTGACTCGGGGATGGCCTCTCATGAATATTGTACCGAAGAATCTGTTCATGAGGGCTGCCAGTTCAGGCTTTGGGATTGAGAAATCCCCCGTCAGGATTTCGCACGGACCCTGTACTGGGATGCTTTCCCAACAGTTGTTCCAAAACGCGGTCGACCCGTTTTAACCTGATGTTAGGAGGTCTTTCAGCATAACGGCACAACCAAATGAACCGATATTGCTATGTTTGGAGTTCCATTCTCATTTTCACTTTTCAGGACCTGGAGGTTGAGGCGGCGCTGGCAGCGCTACAAACTCTCACAGAGGACAGGGTGACGAGTGGCCCAATGGACTCAGGGCTCCTCGTTTCCTTTGGTGGGTGCTAATTTTCTTAGCCACCAATATGTGAATTTCTCAGAAGGAATTTCGGTTTCGAACACCCTGGTAGCGATGAACTTGGTGGAACACCCACAAATGCCTGGTTGACAGAACAACCACTTGCAGGCCCCCAGCTAAAGAGGGCTGCAAGCATCAGCTGCCCAGTAACAAGTTGACAACAGGCCTCCATTAGGCAACAAAAAATTGGAATTCAGGGGAGGGGACGTGGGGCTCGGGGCGCGGGAAGCCGAGAGAACCGGCCTACTCAGCCGCCACTAAACAAGGGCTGGGTGCGTCATAGGGATCGGCGCCCAGCTGGCCCTGTCCTTTAAAGGCAGTTCTTCCCATTTTCACCTCAGCCATGGTGTTTGAGGCCTTCGGAAACCGGGGGCCCCAAGGCTGAGGTTCGGAGGTCGCAGTGGGCCGGGGAAAGGACATGGGACCGCCCGGGCGGCCGCCGCCGCCGCGGCCGGCGCCCCCGGTACCCTCCGCAAAGGCGACCGGACCGGGATGAGCAAAATGGTACTCGTGCACCCGCATCACCCGCAGAGTTAGTTGTGGGGTTGGCTTCAAGAGAAGGAAGGCTCAGTCATTTGTTTGTTTAGCTTTTTGGACAGGCCCAGATGATGTGTTTTGTTTGGCTTCCTTTGTCACCCTTGAATAGAGTCTATTTTGAGATCGCCCCTTTATCAATACTGGGGAAGCCCCTTCCCCAGCTGCAGGAGGTTGGCCATCAGGTCTGGGGGGAAATGACGAGCGAAAACCCATGAGAGGCGCGGACCTGGGGTCTAAGGGGCACCAATGATTTGCGAGGTGTCGTACGTAGCATTAGGTCTTTCACAGAAGGAGCCAAGGTGGCAAGTCGGGCGGTGCCAGATTTCTGGGCAAGCCGCAACACGGCAAACTGTCCTTTTGGTCGGAGAATTGTGCAAGCCTGCAAATGTGATCAGTAGTGACACGCCGGCTTTGTGGGGTTTGTAATCAGAGCACCCTCTCTCCTCCGTGGCACCCACACCTCGCATCGTTCTCGTTCGAACTTTCTTCCAGGGCATGGCGTTCATCGACTTCTTTCTCGTTGGGGAGAGGCGCTTTGCTGTCGGTTCCGGTTGCCTTGCAACAGCGGGAGGCGGGATGGCAAGTGAGGCAAACACAAGGGTGCCCTTAAGAGAGCGAGGGAAACCCAATGGAACCACGTCGGCATCTCAATTCACAATTGGCGCTGCTTGGCCGTGGCAAGCAGGGAGATTTCAGAGCAGAACGGTAGTTTTCCATTGAAGCCACTGGTTTGCAATATATTTTTACACGATGCATTGCTATGTTCCAAGCATACTTTCTCAAATTGTCAAATTAAATGTTCGCCATTTGCGTTTCTCCCACAATTTAAAAGCTTTCAGGAGTGTAGGGCGGGATGGGAAGCAGTTTGAACCATGTTTGAACCTATTATTTGGGGCGAGCCAACTGAGCACGTGCCGATGCTTCCCGACGGCAGGACTTGAAACGTATGATCCTTGCTATTAGGCGGCCTTGGACCTGGCGGCTACCTGCTGTTGTCGTTGCGTGCGGCGCAATCGTTTCCTTTCCAACGGCGCTAACGATGCACTTCTCTCAGGACCGACTTCTTCTCGGATGAGGACGCTCCTGGGTTCATGTTGTCCGCACTTGGAATTTGCAACCCCAGCTTTCAGATGCTTTCAGCATAAGACCGTGGCCATGTGCTGACAGCTCTTGACGGAAGGGGGTCAGCGGGGTTGCCGCTGCATGAGCCATATGCGAGCCCACTTGCACACAAGTGCTTCTTTCTTCTTTTTTTTTGTGATTGTGCGTCGTCTTCTCTCCTTCTTTGCGTGCGCAGGAGACGGCTGCGGGCTCAGTTTTGTGGCTTTCCTTGCCCGGGGTTGCAGCTCGATCGAGCTAGACATCCGAGCGCATTCGACTCTCGTGCCCGTAATCCACTTTAGCCGGGGCCAGGCCACAAGGTGAATAATGTAACATACTGTAACTGCAGAGGCAAAGCAATTCGAAGACTTATTTTTGAATTATGCTCATGTTGCACCAAGGGGCATCAAGAAGATAAGCAACTTGAATTCTGTCCCGCGCCGGGAGTCGTTCTGTTCCGGCTCTTTGTTTTGTTTTGAGTTTTACTGACGCAAACTTGCAGCATGCGAGCCTTAGCGGACGCCTACGTGCGGGAATGGTTGAGCTGAGCGACAGATTCCCATGCTTCAAAAAGAAGCATTATCACAGCAAAGCAGGCGCTTTAAAACTCAGGAGTTTGTTTTCAGGACTGCCCTGCGCCCGCCCTGCTTAGCATCCCCAAGCAGTCGCAGTCTAATTAGCAGCTGTCAATACAGCAGCTGTCAATGCATGTGTTACATGACGTAATGTAGACCATGTTTTGGGTTGATGCAATGCATGCATTCTTGCTTGCGGATAGGTCCATTTGTATGAGAGTGTGGGTTGTCCACTTCCTGTGCTGAAAAGGCACTACCCTGCAAAGCGCCAACAAGTTGCCATAGAGATGATCATCCTTACTTTTGGTATTGCAGGAGCATATCTTAACTATGCGAGGCTCCTTTCCAAGACAGGTCGAAGACCCCTTCAAGGACGACCTGAGCGATCTGGACTCCGAGGAGGAAACCCAAGTCCCGCGTCTTGGCAGCGGCCGCCTTTCGCTTTGGATTCAGATCCAGGAAGGAGTCGTGCTTCCAGGCTCAACTCTCAGGGAAATGAAATCGGACAAAGGGTGCAAAGAGCTCCGTACAATTGGGTCATGGACCCTTTTGACCCTTTGAAGTTGCCGTTGGGGTTTTATGGCCTTCACTCGTATCCATATCCCTCGTCGCCGAGGCCGGGGAAGTCCCCGGAGCCGGCGGCGGCGCCGGACGCGCCGGCCGCGCCGGCCGCGCCGGCGACGTCGCCGGCGAAGTCGCCGGAGCGGGCGGAGCCGAAGCGGCGGCCGCCCACGCCGCCGCGGCCGCAAAGGCGGCGCCTGCCGGAAGGTCCGAAGGCGCGGATGGATCAGCGGTCCGACTCGGCTGAAGGCTGAAAGGCATTTTCTTGATGTATTTGTTTGCAAGAATTGTGGGGTTGATCATTGGAGCAGGTATCACCCAGCCCTGACTTTTAATGGATGTATGCTTTCCACCGAATGTCCAAATCCCAGCTAAAAGTGGACACTTTTGGCCAGGCCAAGGAGCCTAGCGCTGAGGGCGCGGAACCCAGCACGCGATGCGCATATGGGGCCAAACTTGCGGGGTCTAGTGGATGCGGAAAGGGTCTTAGATCTTTTGAGAGGAATGTTTGAATGCTCCCAAGTTAGCCAAGAGGTTTCAGTTGTGTTCTGCTTTCGTGGACATCCACTTCAATGACGAAACCAGCTTTTCTCAGCCAGTCACATACTTGTAGTTACTTGCCTTGAGGGATTGCGGCATTTCGCCCCCCGTTTTGCTTGATTGCTAGGGATATTTTAGCATGGCAATCTGGTTCGCCAAAATATGTACTGTTGCCTAAAGTCCCTGAAATCAGCCGTGGGAAACAAAACGCCGGGGCCCAGACCAAGCAGACGCAAGATGTCATGCGGACGGGTGGTTCAGCCAGGAAAGCAAACCATGTGCCCACAGCCCAACAAAAAAATCCTGGCCACTGGCCACGGTGTAGGGGTTCCATCGATCAAATATGTGTTAGGCGAGGTCAGTTAGTCCAGGTCGTAAGTCCAGTAGCATCCGGTAGCCACGAATTCGGGTGGTTTTGGTTTCAAGGTTTGTTGCTTTCTCGTTGCCCGACGAGCAGATTGCGATCAGCTCAGGCTCGCAGCCGGATGACGAGGACGACTTGGTCGTTCTGAGCCACTCGGCGTTTTGGGAAACCGTCAAGGGGCGGTACTGAGAATGAAAAGTCACTTGGCCACTTGAACATTGACACACTTGTTGAATATGGTTAGCATACTCTAGCAGTCGTCTCTATTGTCATCAAGCTTGACTCCCCGCTCCTCCCTTTCCATTCACCCTTTATCCGCCTTCCTTACCCCTCGCGGGCACGGATTTAGCTCCCTGCACGCAGCCGTGAACGCTCAGCACCCGCCCTCAGCCTTGCACCCACACTCTCACGATATCAAGAATGCACAACGAGCTCTCACCCAGATGAGTGTGGCGGGTCTCCAATCCTTTGAATCGTTATAATGGTTGGATGAGAGCAGACTCTGAATGGTTCAGCCCAGTCTTGGCACGCAGCAGGCACAGATGACTTCCTCCCAGTTATTCAATGGCACCTTTGTCCCTTTTCGTTTGGACGGTTCCCAGGCAAAATTGTCACAACCCAAAAAAGGCTCCCCTTTGTACTAAGGTTACTGAGCAATTGGGTAGATGAATTCCTCCGCATATCTGAAATGCACGCGCAAGGTGTAGACTTAGCCGAGCCCAGCGCACCCAATGCGAGGGCCACAGGCAAGGTGCAAATGGGTTTGTCTGAAAATCGGGGGACCCTAAAACGGTGATGGCTTTTGTTTAGGTGTCCCTTTAAAGCCAACCAACAAGGTGTGAGGGATCGAACAAGCGGGCCTTGAATGGTGCAACGAGCATGCTGGGTCAACAGGCTGTGGCAAGGTGCCGAGTTTGCGTAGCTCGCGCTTGTACATGCTGCAGCTGCCGCCGCTGCTGCTGCCGCTGTGCCAATGGCCGTTTCTATTGCTATCCGATCCACTGCTGTTGTCATGTTTGATGTGTGCCATTGCTGTTGCCATGTTGCTTTCCATTGTTCTCGTTCATGTTTGTGTTCGTGTTGTTGTTGTTATTGTTGTCCTTGTTGCCCCTTGGTTGTTGCATGGCAGCTTTGAATTTGCCGGTCCGGTGTGACAGAACTTAGGGGGGTTTTGTGGCGCCCTTGTGGTAGCCTGCCTTCTGCAAAGGAAACACAGGGGAATCCAACCGCTACAAGGGTTTGTTTAACATTTTCTGCATATGCTTGTTCAGCTGGTGTTTTGTGCATGGGCTCTTTTCAATGGAAACTAATTGGAAGCACAAAACCCATGACAGGCCTTCTTTTTGTGAAGCTGTTGTTTCAGACCTCAGGAAAGAGCAAGCTGCGATGAGCCATGCGCGCATCAAGTGTTTCCGGTGAGATTTGGGCGGGGTTGTTTTGGAGTGTGAACGTTTCGGTGGGTTTGCAGGGGCATCCAAAGGGAAACCACCCGTGGGGCTCCCTCATACTCACCTTGCGAATCTGGCGAATTCGCAGGCATGGACCTGGAGGACAGGCATGGGGTTATCGCGTGAGCCCACCTCAGTACTCTCAGGGGTTGGGGGCGAAAGTACCTTCTTAGGTGCTTGGTTCAGGAAGTCGAGGGTTGTCATGCTTTTGCATGAGCTCTTTGGAAATAACATGGATTCCCCCCCAAACTTGGCTTCAACCTCCGGAAGAAGTCTTTGCAGGAACCGAAAGGCCAAGCCTAAAGCAGCAAAGGAAATATTAGGGTACGGCTTGAACTGCTTCCTAGGTTTTTTTTTTTTGCCTCACAGTGCACAGATTCAAGCATTTGTGATGTGCGTTTGGTTTGTCATTTGCTTGCTTGGACAAAATCACCAGATTTGCGGTACGACGTTTTGTGAGAGCGTGTTTCAATGAGGCAGGTGTATCACTGCCGAAGCCTGAGCAAGACTCAAGACTTCTACCAACCACGCAGGACGAGAAGCTAGGACGAGATGGGGGGGTTGAGCTGGGTGGCGGTAGAGAGAGATTTGACGCCCGATGGGCGTGTGACAACATGCAAGATGGCTTTTGATAGTTGCAATATTGCAGAACGCTGAATGCAACCAACCGTTTGAAGCACGCCGCAATTTTTGCGCCTCTTCTATTTTTGAGTCCCTCAACACTTGAAAGCAGCAAGGCGTGCGGCGTGAAAGGTGGCATGTGCGTTTCAACATGACTTTCGGAATCCGGAATCCTGCAAAAGGAGTTTGTTTGTTTTTTTTTCCCGGGGGGGGGGGGGTCCGTGTGAACAGTTTGCGTCATGTACCTTTGCCCCTCCAAGTGTGAGCGCGGGTGCTCGCCTCCGTCTCCGATTCAGGGCTGTTGATGAGTGCCACGTGGGTATCAAAAGCTAGGGAGGCAGAGTGCCAACCGAGGTAGCTTGTGAAGCTGCATGATGTCAGCCGGAAGCTGTGCTGAGCTGTATGGAAACAGATGTTGAAGTCAGCCCCAGAGGCGGCCGGATACTCTTGAACAGCGCCACTTGCTTGGTCCTAGCGGTATCAAGGCCAGCCAAGCCAATTTTACTTCTTGGTTCTGCCGACCCATGATTTCTTGTCCCCAGTCATTCCCTGCAGCCTTTGTTTCGCTTTCCTTTTGGTTCTGCCGACCCAGGATTTCTTGCGTCAGGCCTCGCTGGGGCATCTCCAGTTGTTCCCTGCACCCTCTGTTTCGCTTTTGGTGGGCTCCTTTTGAGCTGCCAGGGTTGCTGAGAATTCCCCGGCTGTGCTAGGAGAGCAGATGCGCGCCGCGCTGGGCGCGTCTTTGGCGGCTCTCAGGCAGGCTGCTACGCTTGGAGCGTTTGATGGACCCGGCAGTGTTTTGGTTGCGCGTGCTTCACGCATTGCACACCTGGGGTTGCTAAACAGTTAGGGCCGCCTTCAGTTGCTGAGCGTGTGTGTGTGTGTGTGTGAGGTTGGTTTATTCGGGACTCACTGAGTGTGTGTCCCTCATTTGCGTTCGCCATTTTATTTTGGTGCCCTCATCGCCAAGGAGCATGATTGTTTATTGTTGTTCAGACAGTGAACGCATTATGTTTGTTGAGCTGGCCGGAAATGGAGTAACACATTTTGGGGCATGCGGCGCAATGCTATTCGTGCCTTTGATTGGCCTGCTACTTGTTGTGGGGGCCGCATGCCCTCTTTCGCAAGCACAGTATTGCTCAGCGAGGCGAACATGGATAGGAACTCAGGCGTGTTTGGACTTAGGATGCATGTTTCACTCTGGATTAGGCAATGCCAAGTAGCACTCTGGGCCCAACAGGTCATGGGCCTTTGGTTGGCAGGAACCCGGAGCCGGCACCTCGAATGGCCTTGCCGGTCCAGCTCTCAGCCACTCACGCTGTGTGGAGCTAGCCCCTTTCGAGCCCATTCGCTTCGCAGTGCCTCACTGCGAAGCCAAGGGGGGCCCTCTTTCAAGTGACGAAGTAGCCGTAAGGCATCAGGATAGCCCGTTGGCATCACAGGGAAATAACCTGGGTTCATCCAGGCATGAGATACAAGCCAGAGGGTGCACATGGCATTTGGCATGCCGAATGAGACTGATAAAGCGCCGTGGACTGTATCTTTAGCAAAAGCTTGCCGAAAAAAAGCTCAACTGGAGAGGACCCTTTCTTAGGGGTCTTAACTTACTTGTATACTCTAGCTTTCACGTCCGAAGTGATGATTTCCTTTGGGCCCTTCTGAATTTCACCCATTGGCGTTCAACCTGGTCGACTGTTGCCGAAGATCAGGGGGGTTCTCACTTGGACGTGTCTGAAGATAGAGGGCCCCTTTCTGAATGGTTGGAATCAATCCATTTTCGAGTTCCGCTATTTGGAGAGAAACACCCACTTGGCTAATGGTCTTTTTGACTTTTTGACAATCCCGAGAAGATCTGTTCCTAGGAGAGGTCCTCCCACGGACCTTCTTTCATTTGCTAGTGCGTTGGCCAAGTGCTTCAGTTATTGCTGTGCCATTCATTTTTCACCACACTTTGAGTCACGGCTCACCAAAGGAGGCCAATGCGGGCCTGACGGGGCAGTTGTTTACCGCCCTGCAACTTCATGATTTGACTGTTCATTGTTTCGATGATCATCTTCTTTCTGGGTAGTCAATCAAGATCTTGAACACTGCAAAGGTGGAAACATTTGCCTGTGCACATGCATGCACAGCATTCGAACAACTTTCTCCGCCATCAGCCATTGACATTTGTATTGCCCCAGCCACTGCCTGGAGTTTACACGTTGCGCCCCATGCGCTTGCATGGGAAGTGGGGAAGTGTTTGTTTGACTTGGGGAGACGTTCCTTTCTGGCCCCCTTTGCAAAACCCTCCTCCCAGCGAACACCAAAACGCCATCGAAGGTTGAGCCGGCTGAGCCGGCCATAGACCGGGTGGACGAGGCCGAGGCGAATGGACGGTCGAGCTTGCTCTAGAGGGACAGCTGAAATTGCACTGTGCTGTGGAAAGAATCTGACCTC